TAACGCTACGCTAAATTGTAGCGTTTTTTCGCTACACTACGCTACGCTAACGCTACGGTTAGCGTAGCTGGCCCACCGTTGCGGGAAGTGATATCCACTAGCATCCAAACTGAGGGCAGGCTATAGCGCTAAACCAAGAGCCCGTGGGCGCCCACCAGGCAGCCCGTGCCCGACCCGTGCCACTTAGTGCTTTTAACAGGCCGGGCCAAAGTCCAAAAAATCCACAAAAGTGCTTTCCGCACCCAGCCCAAACCCAGCCGGGTTTCGGCGGCCTATCGGAAACCCGGCCCAATTATCATCCTTAGACCTGTGAGTTTCAATCAATTTTTGGGCAATTTGGTTGCTCCGCAGAGCCTTCTATTTCAGAGGTTCCAGGCTGACATAATCAGCATGTGTTTCCATTTGGCACGAGGGCTTGTATCAAGCGTAGAATTGCAGGCTTGATCCAGGCGGACCGTTTCATTTTCCAAATGACCCTAATCTAGGTATCTGCCTCTCATGATCTCATCCAAACCATATATTCCACTAATCCAAACCAGATATTCCACTAAATCCTATCAAATTTAGTGATAATTTCATTTCCCCCAAGGTACCATAGTAGACCTTATGGGAAAAAAATCAGTGGGTAATACACCTCTTTTTATATTCTATTATCTCCCTTGGTTACCCTTGATCCACTTAAACTTTTCCTCTTCTTTCTCCTTTTTTTTGCTTCATTCATAATTTAATTTTACTTTTCCAATGACCTCTCAATCCATCCTCTTTGAAATCCCATTTTTTTCCCAAGACACCACTTTGCATGTCTGCTTCCTTTGTCTCTAAACTATCCTCCTTCCCCATCCGGGGCATCTGATTTTGTCACTTTTTACTAAACCAATGCATTTCCCTAATTCAACACTTTTGTACGCTTGAAATGAATAGAGCATAAACATCTCGCCCTGGCCTGTAATCCAATACAGACATTATTTAACTTAACTTGCAGCTACACAGTGCTATTCACTATGAACCATTTTGTCTCTGGTCAGGGAGAATATTCCTGACTACTATACTTGTCATACTCCCCGGAGAACTTAACCCATCAATGTACATCAAAACTGGCAGACTATGGCCTGCAGTTGTCTAAATGTATGTATTCTCCAGTTTGATCCAAACTTGGATTAAACTTAATGTTCCGTTCTTGGTTGACCTCTTCTAATCAAGTCTTCAACTTGGCAATGATCCAATCACGACTCTCGATTTCAGACACCATCAAGAGCAATCTCGATCTCAGGCTGGCATTTTTGATTTGCTTCCCGCCAAGAGACTTGAAATACTTGCAAGGACTCTTGAACTCGTTTTGGTTTTCTTTGATGAAAACTGCCCATTTGGCTTTGCCCTTTGATTCTGCTTTTGATTATGTTCTTAATATTCTGCTTTGTTTGAAGTGAGCACCTGAAACGTTAGGACTAAAAAAGGAATGAGAGTGTATCCTGTTTGATGAGGAAGACGGTATAAATCCCAAAAAAATGATAAAATTTTGATCCAAAACAACCGGCTCAAATTGAAGGGAGCCTGTGGGCTCCCAGAAGGGACACTCCATTACTCTACGGTCAAGTATCTCACATCATTGCAGATCACCATTGGGGGAGTACACAAAATCTGAGAAACCATACATATCCGGGGAGAATGGTTGGTGCCACAGTTCCGCAGCTCATCACTTCACCGGAAAGTGAGAAAACAGCCCCACATAAAAAATTGCCTGGCGGATTGTACTCTATGCATTGTCAGAAGGGGCAAGTATCTATTCTGGGAACCTAAAGTGGTGTCAAATAACCTGCATTCCTTTGCAAACTGTTAACTTCATCTGAGTCTGGTATGTTGCTGACCAGATCAAATACGTGCATGGGCTGACTAAATTGTCCTTTTGAGTCTCAACTGAATTTCAATCTCAGATCTGAAGATATAACAACCACTTATATTTTGTTTCCCTGGATGCTACAATAGACAAAAAGGTACAAGGCCATAGAGGAGTTTATTCATTCCATATTTACTGAGCTTTGTTCCACAATTTACCTCAACATACACCCAGTTCAAATTTAGAAGCAAAGTTTGCACAGATATATTTGATTGGAAAAGACAAAGTGAAAGAAGCAGAAATCAGGAAATAAAAATAGGGCATTAATAAAAAAACACGGTTTTTCCGCGTTTACACACAGTTTTGCTGCAGCACAGCACACGCGGTTTCCGCGTTTAAACACGGTTTTGTATTTAATTTTTTATGTGTTATTTTTCGAGTTTTTTTGAATTTTTAAAGTTGTTTCCTACACTTTAAAAGGTTTAGAATTTAATGGTAAAAACGATTTTCCATAAAAATGAATTTTGATTATTAATTATTTTTTTTTTCACTCATTTCTCAATTAATCGTTTGCATACATGTATGTGCATTATTTTTTATGTTTTTTTGAAATTTTAAATTTATTTCCTAGGTTTTAATGTGCGTATAATTTAATGGCGCAATCCAATTTTCATAAAAATGAATGGTTCATTTTTAATGAAGCAATTACACCCATTTTTTCACTTAAATTTTTAGAGCTTAATTTTCATTCTTTTTTGACATTCTAAATTTTTTTCCCACACTTCAAGACATGTTTAAATTTATGGTAAAAATCATTTTGCACCAAAATGAGAACTGCATCTTGTATACTGCATTTGACACCGTTTTTTTATTTAATTCTTCACTTTTTCACTCAACTGTTGCATTAATTTCTTACCTTATTTTTTATGCTTTTTTGAAATTTTAAAGTTGTTTCCTACATTTCAAAGTGTTTAGAATTTAATGGTAACATTCAATTTCCATAAAACTCAATGGTTCATTCTGAATACTGTAATTGGTCTCAAAATTCAATTTATTTTTAAGAGCTTAATTTTCGTTATTTTTTGACTTTTAAATTCATTTCCCACACTTTGAGACATGGTAAAAATGATGGTAACAATGATTGTGCATAAAAATAAAAACTACATCTTGAATACTGCATTGAACGCTTTTCCTTAATTAATTCTTACATGCTTAATGATCCTTATTTTGTGGAATTTTAAGTTCTTTTCCTACACTTTGAAAGGTTTTAAAATTGTTGGCTGTATCCATTTTGCATTCAAATAAAATTTGTATACAGTACAAATTATGCAAGAAACGGTGTACACTCTTATATTAAGATTGAAGCTTTTATTTTGAGGAAAAATGAATTCTACCATTAAATTCTACACACTTTTAGATGTAGTAAATAGATTTAAAATTTCAAAAAAAGGTTAAAATTGAGCTGGTAAAAATTATTTAAAAAAACATAAAAAAAACCTGTACAATGCAGTATTCATTACCAATCTTTTGTTTTTACACAAAATGATTGTTACCATCATTTTAACTATGTCTTAAAGTGTGGGAAAGAAATTTGAAATGTCAAAAAATAATGAAAATTAAGCTGTAAAAAATGAAGTGAAAAAAGTGTGTAATTTGAGTATTAAAAGTGAACTGTTGAGTTTTAAAGAAATTGGATTGCACCATTAAATTCTACGCACATTAAAACCTAGGAAATAAATTTAAACTTTCAAAAAAATCAGAAAAAATAAGGTACATACATGTATGCAAACAATTAATTGAGAAATGAGTGAAAAAAAATAATTAATAATCAAAATTCATTTTTATGGAAAATGGTTTTTACCATTAAATTCTAAACCTTTTAAAGTGTAGGAAACAACTTCAAAAATTCAAAAAAACTCAAAAAAATAAGCGGTAAAAAAGTAATTACAAAACCGTGTTTAAACGCGGAAACCGTGTGCGCTGTGCCGCAGCAAAACCGCGTGTAAATGCGGAAAAACCGTGTTTTTTTATTAATGTCCTAAAAATATAGAGCCCCTGTTGATTCAAGAATAAAACCTGAAAAGCAAACATGGATCAGTACTTCAGAGCCATGTTTGAGGGGCTTTGGATCAAACATTTATAACTTTTTTGGGATTTACATAGAGTTCAGAAAATACTAAACCTGAGAAACCCACAACAAAACTTAGAAAATGCTGCTCATTAAGATGTTAAAAATGGCTCTAAAATTGAATCATGAACCCCCCTAATGTATACTTCTTTTTTATCAAGTTTCACTAAGTTGAGATCTTAAATGTGGCACCAGCCACACTATTTGCTAGTTTCTATTGAACAAGATTGGACAGTTGAAAAGCATGACTCACTTTAAGCATAATTTTGTGTTTTTGGGGTCCGGCAACAAAATTGTAAGGTCGAATCACTGTCACTATGAGGGAGCTCCGACTATCCACGACTCGGGCATCCCGCACTCGCAGGAGACGAGCTAATTAATCCCGATAAGGGGAGCTGGTAGTGAGGACCCTGCGTGAGCGTCCCGTTCCCTCCTTTCAAATTCTCAGCTCGTCATGCGGGCGAGGCGCCGCGTCTTGGCGGAGAGCCAGACCCAAGCGACCTCCTGAAACAAGTGCTCGTGTTATTTAATTTGTTGAACTCCCAAGCTTGATTCAGATTTCACCCTTGCAAGTTTAGTGAAGTGGCCTCGAATAGCTTATCTGCTGACTTCAAAAGACACGACTGTATGCGTTCAAGTCTGTCACTCGACAAGCCCCGCTGGGCATTTCAAGCTCCATATTGCCACCCAGGAATGAGATGCAAGGATGCCGTTGAAAGTTAAACGGCAAACGCTAGCCCACCGGATCAAATCTTGTTCCCACTTCCCAGCAAGTGGCGCCTCACGTGGGTGCAGTCCCGACTGGTCACTACATCGATGGACTGATCGGCTAAGGCTTTTGGACGCGATCAACCTTCACGTTCGGATGTTAATATACAGGTCAAGGTAAGGTTCTTGAACGCGTTTGGTAAATCGATCGCGCTCGAGTGCTAACTTCATGTTGCTCATCTGAGCTCCCCCCATTCGACGTATTTTCATATTATGTAAGCACGCTTTAACACAAGCGGCTTGCAAAGTCCACACACTGTTTCAGATCACGACGATCTATCACTATCAGATCTATCGCATGCGCTGCATTTTCCGAATCTTTCGACTGTTACAATGGAGGTCGCAATGATTGATCATATTTTTGCTGCTCAAAGACGACCAGCACGAAGCATCTTGCGCAAGTCAAACATCATGCTTGGAGAATTTGTTGGTCTCCACTCAAAAACCCATGATGAAGGGAATTAAAATAGGAGCAACCTTTGAGATGTACGGTTAACAACGGTAGTACGCATCGACATTCGACATAGTATCGACATAGGTAATCCGGCGCAATCCTGAAACTTTCTGTTCGCACCTTCTGATAACAAAACCATGCTGTAATCCTTCATCCCAGGAAAGCAGCATGTGAGAGACTGCATTCACGGAGAGTTTGGGGTTTTCTCTTGCATAGATCAGGCTCCCCTTGTGAATCCTAGATGATGGGCTGTATGCCAGAGCTACCCCCTCCCTCTCTAGATCGAGTCCTACACTTCCACAGCCTTTCCGGCCAGAGGAGAGGAGTAGGCTCAGCCTCACCTCTTTTTCCACTAAAGCTATGTTGGTGTGAGGGGAGGGTAATGGACCCCCGAGTGGCATCACCTCTGATACCCTCATTCCCCCAACCTCACTCGCAGCTCGCTGCCAATTGAGAAAACAACAAGCATAAAATGACGTGTCGCGCTACTGAGAGAAACGCAGGGAAGCTATTAGCATTCTTAGTGGGCTTTCGGCTCGCCCGAATAAAGATGCGCATATCTAATGTTTGCTTGCCGCTGAAACGAGCAGCGACGGAGCGGATGAATAATTATATTGCCGGACTTAACAGTGCGAGAAGGGTCACAAGGAGCACTGATAACTATGAACTACTATTAGCTAGCCTGCGCCATGCGTAATGAGGTAGTATAATAGTTGAGGAGAAGGATAATCTACTCCAGGTTCAAGATACTGACTGCGGTGGCTATCACATAGGAGCTGGCCAGCCAAGCAGTAAACAATTCTCGGGATTGTGTCCTCCGTCCCCCAAATGTGTTTCGCAGACTTAAAATTCTGCATCACATGCTTAGATTCCCGTGATGAAAAGAGAAAGCCTACTGATCCGACTTTGTACGGAACCAATTCCTACCAATCTACGGATAACTCTTACCAGGTTTGTCCGGTGAGGACGGCTCCGAGTTGCGTGCAGATAGATATTGTTAGTTGGGTACATAGTGTAACGCTCCAGGCGCATTATCCACTCGGGCACTCTCTAGCTCAGTCATCTACCTTCATCTTTTGCGAGACTTGACTTGATAAATACATTTTTAAAAAGTCATTACTGTTTAATCTGGGAGAGCCGGGCCAAGCAGCCTTCAAGGAAATTCAACTTCTGAAACATGAAATGATGAAGATTTCGCTTCGATTTTAGCTTCATCTGTCATGATGTCTCCACCATTCTCAAGTCATTGGTTATGAACGTATACTACAATTTACTTAATTTCTTACATGTCTGAGCTGCTCCTGCTGGCCGTTTTTTCATTGCATGCTGCCACCTCATTGACACTCCCCACTAATTCTCAGATGTTTAAGCAAGTTTACATGTGGTGTATTGCTATCAAATACAGAAATTTTTGCTATGATCCAGACTCTCCGAACTTCACCCACAACCTTCGATTGAGAAAGCTATCACGGTTGGGCCAGCCCCACTGATGCAACATCAACCAGTGCGCTTGGCTCAGACGCCCCGCTTTTGTTTGCCAGCTAAGTGAAAGTCCATCAGCAGTCTCTCGCGTCTCATTCTTTGGCAAGAAAAAAAACGGGATTACCCAAGTCCTATTAAGGCTCACAGTCCATTCGGGCACCCAATACCCTCGATCACTCAAAAGTCTTTCCGAAGGTTAGTGAATTGTAATCCTACTTGATTGCTTGGAAGTCATCGAACAAAATAAAATAGGCTTTATCTCCATCTCCTGAAGTTGGAATCTCATACGATTCACTCGTTGGTAATTTAGCTCTCTTCAGAATGACAAGCAGGAATTAACAACTCATTTCAAAGAGAAACTTCGTCGCTTAAAGGTTCCCGTCTGTCTTTCCAGATACCACGACCTTACTCAACTTGACCTCTTTTCGCGTTGCAGTACTCTTCAACCAATTTCTGACAAAAAACGACAGGTGCAACCACCAAAGCGGCATAAAAAAGAACGACTGACCCCGAGAAGTAGTAGAAATACTCTCTAAACACCGCTGGATCTATTTCAAAAATCAAGCTCTTGTTCTCCAGACCCTTTACTATCGAATCTGAAACCACTCATGTCTGGCCCGCTCGGCTTGCCGCTCTTCTTGACTATTTGAGAGGACACCAACAAAATAAATCAGGAAAAAAACAAGTCATTTTGGTTCTGAAACTGATCAAGGCTCTGAAACTAGTCGTGGAATCGGCGGATCTGTTTTCTCGATCCCGGCAAATCACATCATGGCCATTCCTCCCGAAAGCTGCAGGATACGTGCTGTTAATCCATCGGAGGTCGGTGGCGCGTGGGGAGCGGCATATGCGGTTGGCACGCCCATCTCGTCAGTCCCGTCTCAAAAGATACCATTTCTTAGCACGGATATCTACCATCTCCAAAGGCCATCTTGGATGCATGTTCCGTTTAAACCATGGTTTCGTCGCCGTTCTCAAAATTGTACTAATTTTACTGGATTCACAGGGCACTGGTGACGGGCATTTGTTGTGCACTAGCGATCGAATATTTCCAACAATTTCCCCAGGACGCCACGCGAATTCGCTTATCTGTGATAGTGGTTGTTGCAACCACTATCTTTGGCCTCCTTTTAGCAATGGATGTAAGTGGCCGTGATCTCAGTAGCGAACCACTTGACCATCATCAGACTCACTATCTTAAGACACTCTTACCCACTGGATTAGTTGACCTATGTCAGATTGGTAAAAAATGCCACGCCACCCGGGGGTAATTTTTCCTGAGTCTCTGGAGCGCCTTTCTCGGGACAAAAACACTTGTGCTGAAATTCGTCTGTGTTCCCAGGTTTCGGTGATATTCCTTGGCAAGACGACGCAGTGGCTCTGATATGTGGGTAAGCTGCGAATCCGATTTTCGCAAAGCAACAATAATTGTAACACTAATTTTTTGCTCTGGGCTTTTAGAGTCTGTCAACTCATTTGCAGTGCCTATTTTGCTTAGTGCGTCCAAAGATCGCTCAATAGCCTGACGTCTCGATCCTAGCTAAACACCGACTGATCGCCTTCAAATTTAGTTCTGCTTATTCAGTAGCAACCAAAAAAAAGCTTCTGATGATTTGGTATGGATTGCTCATGGCAGTCATATTTCTAAGTGCTTTCTTCAGAGCAATTCTTGGTCTGACGCCTACGGATTGGTCTGATGGTGCCGTGAGTGCTAAGTGAGTTTCACAGAATAAGCAAACTGAGCTGATTCAAACCAAACTCACGTAGGCACTCTGTCCGAAAATGACTTTCATGTGGCTCATGTGCGTTTAACCAAAAATAAATCAAGACCCGTGCAATTTTGTAACTGAACTGCAAAACCTTTTAATTTCTCAGCTGCTCCTTGCTATTAGACTTTAGTATTGCTGTGACGCTTTTGGCACATCTTCGAAAAGCGGCACCAATACCTCAACTCCATACTGCCAGCTTACCAGCACCAGCTTCTCTCCTCAATCATTCCAACCATGCTTGGGTCGTACAGCAACCGCAAGCCCCGCTACTCAGCCGACTACTCACCACTATATTGACATCTTTTTCACTCACTGCCATCCTTATGTTTTCGCTTCTGATCCTTGTGCTGGCTATGCATGGTACCGAGTTTGACCCACAGCTTCCCAAAGCTACGGGAATCTTCACGGCTCTGAGATTACTGGCAACCCCAACATATGCAGTCACATTTCTCTACACGTTGAATCGCAGGAACTGCCGACAAGCTGTTTACCACAATTCTATTTTCAATGGGCACATGCAAACCTTGGCACCACGCACCAGTCACAACACCAACCTTCCCTTTCAGCCTCCCAGAGCAATCAATGACCGTGCGATGGAAGTCCAACTACCTGCCGCAGAGGCAAGAACAAATTGGACACACATGCTTGGTACCGCAAGTACAAGATCCACCCGCACAAGAAATGGAAAAGAAAACATGACTCAAATGGCAAAGTTTGATTTTGCGGAAACTTTCAAAACCTTCTCACCCGCATCTTTTCGGAAAGGATTGACTAAATCCACACCTACATTACCCAAACCACCACCTTCTATCCACTTCAACACATCTCAACCAGACCTCATGTCTCAAACCAGCCCTCATTTGCAAAATTTTGATAACCTCAACCATAGTTACATCTCAGTTGAAAGGCACCCTGAGTCTCAACATAGTTGTGTGGTTCAGATTCATCATGGGACTGCTATTTGAACTTGGTTTTACAATTAGAGTTAAGAATTTCTCCGGCTCAAATTATATTAACTACACATTTTAATAAATGATTCTTTCTAAAATTTGATCATCTTGATCTCATAGCTTAATTTGGCTTTCTCATCTTCTTAATATTTCTGTTGTTTTACATAGACATATATATATACACTTTTTAAATAAAATTATTCTCATCTTTGGACTGCTCCATGGTGCATGTGCATTTACATCAATTAACAATAACTTCTCATCTGATTGGATATATATATATATACATTCACTAGTATATGCCCCCAAATTTGGGGAGGCTGCTTGTTTTTGCCCCGGATGTTGGGGGATTTTACTTGTTTGAAGGTCCTATGGTGTAATAGCCTTTGCTTTTGAAGGTTGCTATGATTGTAAAGTCTTAAATGACATTGAAATGTGCAACATCAACACCGGTGTTAGAAGCCGCATGAGAAATCAATACAAAGGCTAACAGTTTGTTTGGCCCTCTGAGGTCATTTTTTTAGTTATATGTAGATACCAAATAAACTCTTTTTCAATAAGCATATACAACAACTCAAAGAAACACAACATGCAAAATTTTGCCTGCATCTTGAAAGATCCAAAATCTACCTGAAGAAAAACGGAAACAGTTCAATATGTACAAAGGGTATTATGGGCCTAATTAATATTAGTTTCATCTGGTTAATACAAAAAATCAAGCAGACATTTTCTTAGGTTTATAGGAAAGGGATTCTTTGGTGATGGTGGGATCAACCAGACAAAGAGTATGCCATCTGAGACTAAATAATTTTATACAGTAAAAATATCATCTCTAGCCTTTTATTACTTGCAATTTTGCAAGCGTATTACAAGCAACTGGTAAAATATGCATAGTCTCACTTAGGATTATTTTATCTTTGTTATAAATTTATTGAAAGAGACCTGATTTCATCTTCCTCAGTGCACAATTCTGAGATCTGTCGACACATGTGACGAGTCTGGAGCTGGTTTATCTCGGAAAACGGGAATCTGGAGCCCTTAATGGATCGTGACTGGAGATATGTACAGAGAGAGAAAGAGAGCTCTTAAACTGGACTGACTTAGTCAGACAAGCAAGATAGCAACCCTGTCATCCTTCTCATGTCGAAAAGTGAAGTGCCTCAGCAAAGATCAAGAAGTGGTATGGAAGAGTCATGTTGGAGTGACAGAGCGAGAACCCAGTGTACAGACAACCGTACCCATACTGACATCCGCTTGTGTGGAGTCGCAAGACGTCCTAAGGGTATCATGACCCTTCAGCCAAGCCATGTTGGATTTCCACTCCGGTGTTTCTGATTTGCGAAAATATATTTTATATGTAACGTTGTATTTTTTCTGATTTTCCAGTGGATTAGATGACTTCTGAGAGTTCGTTCTCTGGCACATACAAACGACCAAGTTTGCGCTGAACCAAGTTTGAAAGAGTCGCCACGCCAGCACCGATGCACTTAGTGAAGTAAATAAGAGCCCCTGTGACAAAGAGGGACTTTTATGCTTTGAAACCTGTCTGATTGAGGGGTCATCATAAGTACAAACTACGTGCTATATAGTGTCATGCTTACTTCTTAAGAGTAAACACAAACGTATTGGCCGGTCACAAACTGCCCCGGAGCTCCACCAGCACTTAAACGCCGCTACAGGTTTGACGCGAAGTTTTCCAGTGTGCAAAACTGTTGCTTAAAATATTCATTATTGACAAACAAGGTGGATCAAGAGCATCAGCTGCTACCGGATGTTAAACAATCTGGCGTCAATCCGAGTAAGAATCCACCAAGAATCTCAAATCTCAATGTTAAGGCTTCCAGTTAGTTGCATAGCAACTTGTTTTAGACATCAATCACTCTTGGTTCAGCCTCGTCCCTCGTGGTTCTCCCAAATCCATACCAAGAAGGTTAGAGCTAACCGTGTCATCTTCTTGCACAGATCACTGGGACCGGCTTGGGGATGGAATACCGTCAGCGAATCTCTAGGCTTGCGTCTCAATTTCAAGTAGCAATTCAGGAGATTGAAATGGGACGACTTCCAATCTCAGCGGATTTCAGCCGGATCACATCTTCAGATATTACTATCAAATTGTGGCCAACCAAACGCTATTCATTTCAGTCAGTGAGTCAGTCCCGAATAATATTCATGGTATTCGGTACTCAAACTCTGTGATAAATCAATTAAGCCGAGTGAAAAAATCACCAAAGCAGACCGATGTGGGAAATAAGTCATCCCTCTTCAAGCTAAAAGATAATAATCCTGAATCTCAAGAATTCAGCAACCACGTGCAAGAAGAAGCAGCCGATGCAAATACACATGCGACAGAACTAGATCAATGTTCAATTTGCCTTGCCCAAACTCTCAATCCTGAAGAACTACATGTTGTCTCTTCATGTGGACACCTGTTTCATAAAGTGTGCATTCAAAATTGGCTACAGTTGAAGGTAGACCAGACCTGTCCAGTCTGTCGATTTCCAATTCAAGATCCAGAATTACTCCCACTGGCCATACCAAGAAATCATATCCAATTGGTTTCACAAGTTGTCAGAAAAAATATCACAAGCTTGATTCAATGGTTGATTTCTGCAAATCCTCCGGGGAATCACCCCCCTCTTAAACTTTTTCTTCTTCTTGTTTTTTTATATTGGACTAAAACTTTGATTTTTTCTAGTGAATCCTCAATTGAAATCTTGTTGTTTTCTTTTTTGATCACCCTCATTTTTTCTCTAAATTAATAAGTTGCAATCAATTGCGAGTGAAAAAAGCAATTTCTACCTTGGCTAATCTCACTCAATCTCATTTATGTGTTTTCAAGATCTCACTTCAAAGAAGAAAAAATGATAATATCTATCTTGCAAATTTAGGCCTTGTTTGGCTGTCCACAATCGTAATAGACCGTTGTCTCAAATTGTTAAATCAGAATCTAGGTTTGATGATTCCAGGCTGTGCAAATGACGCAGCCTGAAAATCCTCAATTCAAGGCTGTGAAAATGACGCAGCCTGAAAATCCTCATCAACCTCGCTGTGAGGACTTATGATGCAAAAGTTTTTGGGGGGGGACCCAAAATGTTGGAATTGGCAGGGAATATATTCCGCTGACCACTTCTGTCATAAAGAAAGTGCATATGACGTGGCCTCCCAAAAACCATTGTGAGGCCCCGTATTCAGCTGTGCACCCCCGATATATTTGCCATGATTGTTTATGACGATCATGGACGGCCAAAGGAGGCCTTAAATATTTGAAATAACTGCAGCCATGTTTATGGGAATAAAAGTGTGGTCATTTTTTTTTTTGGTTTCAAGCTGACAAGGAGGTCATGAAAAATGATATACACTCTGTTTACTCAGAGGAACTTTTGATTTACACACACTGATCTGAAGCTAAGCTATGCTGAGAACATGAACTGTAAATTATTGTAGTTTATTCTTAATTTTGAAGGTGAATGTGCTTTGATGAAACATTCCTAGTACTTTCCAAAAGTGATTAAGAAAACTGAAAATTTGGAGAAACTGATTTAAAAGTACACTCCAAATTATAATTTCAAAATTCTGGTGCCACCTTTTTTATTTTAAATTTCAGTCCAATTAATCACTCTATCTTGACATAGACAAAAGTCTAGGTTAGGTGTTGTTTTTGATTGCACCTGTATCACTTCAAAAAGGAATTCATTCAGGTCTGAATTTCATGGTTCTGATGAGTCTGTAGTATATGAGGCAAGTGACTGTGTGAATCCCCCATAATTGAACACATAAACCTCAGGAATCCAAATACTTATTCCTTGTTTTTGAATTCCATTCTCATACATTTCACGCAATCAGAATTTATTTTGAAGTTATATCAGGGATGCCGTATTTGGCAATGAGAGAACCTCTTGACTTTTTGACCACAAGTTTCAAGTTTCTCTTCACCTCATGATGATAGAGATAGTATATTCATCCTCATTTCTATCCCTACATTCTGCAGGAAGCTATGTAGAGAATCTTCTACTAAACTGAAGCCTCAAAAATCAAAAAAGAACTTCATGTGGATAATGATTTTGTATAGCAATATCAAATTTTCAATCAGAAATGTGGAAGGATCCAAGATTGGGGCCAGATTTCCTGGTGGATAATTTTTGGTAGTAACAAGACAAGCAGCTTGTTCAGAGACACAAAGGCAGGAGGTGGGAGTCTGATTCCATGAATATTACTGCTCTGTGAGAATAAAAGGCTATGTTGGCAGGCCATGGTGAAATGATGTGTAGTGTACCAATTTTGCTACAAGTACTTGTCCTGATCCATTTTGAGATTTCCCCATCAGGTTGCTGACCCACACCATCTTGTGAGATTGTTGATTACTCCTCTTCCCAATCAAAACTGTTAAAAGCCATACATAAATCAGATAATTGAACAAAAGCTTAGCAAAGCAGCTGTTCATTAAAATTAAATGCTTATTAAAAATGGGATCAATTAATCAAAGAGTGCTTGAGTACTCCTTTGTGTGTCTATCACCAGATACTGAGAGCAAGAAAGATTGGGAAATGAGAAGAATGATTATGAATGAAAACTTTGGAAAAAAATGGTCTCCAGATGGCTTCAAACAGCTGTTGAGTGGGGCATTCACCAGCCCACATTGCAGTAAAGCACTACAATTTACTGTTTTGGCTCAAATCTGGACAACCAAGCTGGCTCAACCTTTTTTGGTTCCATTCTTTCATTTGTAATCATTCTTACCATGTTCCATTCTTTCTTTCTCTCAGCACTCACACTTTCCCAAAATGAATGTCAAAGATTTTGAAAAAAAATCAACTTTATTTGTTGTTTTTCACAAATTTTGAAACTTTATTTTTTATTTTTATTGTTTCATATTCATTTTTTGGGACCTATTAGGACGGGTCACATCTGAACTTTGGAGCAAGTTTTATAGCATTTATCATTAAAATTTTCCAAGTTTGTTCAAAATCTCAAATTCCTCCAAACCTGATGATTCATGAGATTTGACAAAATTCATAAGATTTTATCCATAAAAGTGCTAAAAGTTGTCTTGAACTTCAGACGTGAACCAGCCTATTAGGACAGTTCACGTCTGAACTTTGAGGCAAATTTAATGACATTTATCATTAAAATTTTGCAAATTTATTAAAAATCTCAAATTCCTCCAAACTTGATGGTTCATGAAATTTTACAAAATTCTTGAAAATTTATCTTCAAGTGTGTTATAAGCTACCTTGAGCTTCAGATGTGAACCAGCCTATTATGCACCACCTGACCAAGTCCCATGATTTCAATTTTTTGTTGAGGAGCTCTGGAATCCAAAATAAGCAGCCACTTTTCACTGTCTACCCACTGTACATTGGGAATACAAACTTTCATAAAAAGCAAGAAAGGTTTTGAAGGCTGTGAAAAGCAAGGAAAGATAGGTATCCAAGTTATGTTGAAGAGCTACTATTGACAAAGCAAAATCAAAAATGATGATCATGTCAGTCAATAATTACATCAATCCTGCTTTTTTCCGTGTTTCTTTATTGAAAGAAAGATTATAAAATCTCAAAAAAAGGAAGAGGAAAATTACACAACTTGTTGAAGACTGTTTGCTCCACCCTGCTTGTTCTGATCAGCCTCATGAGTTTCATCACATTGGTTTGCTCTCTAGCCTCCAAAGAAAAAGTAAATTTTTCTATCCAGGGGTTTCTATAATTCTATGCTTGAAGCTCAACTTTGAGCACCCTCATTGGGAGAAACAAACTGTGGAATCCAATTTAGACTGCAAACAAACTTGTTGGCATGTTCCAAGCATATCCTTTTGATCACCCCAAGTGTGCTTTCCCTAATGCTTGGTCAAAGTTAACTTGGTTCATGAGTTGTAAATTTTTTGTTGTATGTAACAATGTACACACTGCCAAAAGGGTTGTATTGGTTACTCCCCCCCACGGTAGAGTTGAACAGAGGCCACCAATGTAAAATTGGTCCAGGAGACCGATTCTATATCGGCTGGGCCACCCAATACATTAGGACAAAGGGGAAATGCATTGGTGGGCCTGGCTGATATAAAATTGGTCGGGGAGACCAATCCTTTATCGGCCGCCTCTGACCAACCTTACCGCGGGGGGTTGTAACCAATACAACCCCTTTGGCAGTGACAGTCACCTCCCAGATGTTTATAGCCATCTGTTTTGAGCTCCACACCAGGAACCCAAAAATTTCAAGTCACAAGAGTTTGTGGAATGGTGGAAAATGGGTCTCAAAGAATGAATATGAAAAAATAATAATGATAAACAAGATTATAAAATTTGTAAAAAGAAAACAGGAGAAAATCACAAAAACTGACAGCTCTGATATTTCTTTCAGGAAAAGATGAAATCTTCAAAGTGATAGTATGAGATCTGGAATGAATAATAAGAAGTGAAAATTTGGAAAAAAAATACTACTTGGTGGTTTAAAAAGGGTGCCTAGGGGGTCATTCATCAAGAAATGTGGCATTCTGGTACCACAATCTACTAATTTTGACTGCAGGATGTCCACCCACCATACTCAAACTTTTTTTGAATCAATATTTTTCATTTATAATCATTCTTTTCATGTTCCAAACTTGCCCTCTGTGTGTTCACTTTTCACTCAAACAAAAAATTAAATTTTTCAAAAAAAAGTTGATTTTCTTTTATCTTTTTCACAAATTTTAAAATCTTTTTTTTTATTATTATTTTTTCATATTCATTCTTTGAGACCCATTTTCCACCATTCCACAAACCCTTGTGACTTGAGGTTTTTGGGTTCCTGGTGTGGAGCTCAAAGCAGATGGCTATAAACATCTGGGAGGAGACTGTACATTAGAAGCCTAATCTTCCAGTTTCTGGGACACACAGCTCCAACGTTGTGATGAGATCCATCATGGTGCAACTCCAGCTGTGGTTATGAAGCTCGAGAAAACTCAGATTTAAAAGATCATAAACAGATGGACTCACAATATTGACCGTGTCTTTGCATTCTTAAACACACAGGATCTGATGATCTTGTATGTACATAAAAGACTTAACTGAAGCTGTTGAATTCAGATCTCAATATTTTGTAGGGTATTGTAGATTTCATTTCTACATATTTTCTAGTGGTATGATATTTGCATCTGTTTCCGACTAGTCCAGTTTTCCAAGCGACCGAAGATGGGGTACCAAGTACAAAGGAAAGAGGGGAGAGTGCTACTTGGAAGGCCGAAGCTGAGGAAACAACAAACCACCGCCGCCCTCCCGCACGACAGAGCCGGTGCCAAGTCCGAGGGCCAAATGCGACCACGTCCGGCCGTCTTGAGCCACGCCGAGGGAGTCCAACAACTGGGCAGCCTTGGCGGGAATGAACGGCTGGAGAAGGATCCCAGAGATCCTTAGCGCTTCGGCAGATAGATGGATCGCTTGATATGCATCGTCTGGCGTCGTTGACTCGTGCCATGGCGCTGTGTCTTGTATCAGTCGGTTTGCCTGTATTGCCATACATGTTGAAAACCATTGTCAATGTATATCTACAATCCTCTCCCAAGCAGCTTCTTGTTTATCAGGTTGATTGACTTACGCCTGCTAGTACATCAAAAATTGATTTTAATGCCTTTGGGATTTCAAACGATTTCATGTGTCCATCCAATTCACCTGGTGAGCCAAAGAAGTGATTTGAATTCAAGAGAGAACAGTGAGCATCCAAGTTTTCGATAAATACCGAACCTTACCATTCACTCTTTCTCGGGAGACAGAAAGATGGACATACCGGGTAGTTGGAGAAGAAGTCTTTGGAGCGAATCGGCTCCTTCAATCTCTGTTTTTGATCCAGGTGGAAAAAGAATACTAGCGCCAGAGCGTCTTCCAGGAGGGAGTCTATTCCACAATTTAGGCGCCGAGATCCGCGCCAGAAGATTGCCCAATTGACCTAAAAGATCCTTCCGATAATGTTCATCTAATCGATTGGGGGCCCAATCTGAAACGTGAAAACCATCCTAATCTGAGTCTTTGTCTCCATGAGGGGTAAACGAGAGAAGCCAAACTCAAGAAATCAAATATCACAAAACACACCTGAGTCGCCCCACAATGATCCAGGAGCACGCATGAGATAATATCGAACACCGTCAACACCCCATTCGTCCATAGCTTTGAATGGATCAACCACGTTTCCGATCGACTTGGACATTTTCTCCTCGTCAATTTTCCAATGTCCATGAGCAATAATGTGTTTGGGTAAAGGAATCCCAGCAGCCATCAATATGGCCGGCCAATAGATGGCATGGAATCTAATTCAATGAAAAATAGAGATAGTATGAGTAATCACTATTCTCTGGTCGAACGACCCAGATGTTCGAGAAGCAAAAAAGAAATGGGAGAATGTACTTAATGATATCCTTGCCTATAACGTGGACATTGGCCGGCCATATGGCAGGCTCTTTTCCAGACCAAGGGTATCCAGTAGCCGTCAGATAATTCGACAAAGCGTCCAGCCAGACATACATGATTTGATTGGGGTCTCCAGGAACAGGGATCCCCCAGGAGAGCCGGGAAGTGGGTCTGGAGATCGACAAGTCGGCAAGATCGTGGGACTTGAGTTGGTGCATGATGTCAGAGCGTTGAGAGGATATAAGTGCTGAAGTAAAATAAACAAATAAATCAGTGTTCAAGCCTTTGGCAAAATTGGTTTCGATCGACTTGGATATATTTACCGTTTGGATTATTGTCCAACCAGTCAATTAATGCTTGCTGAAATCCACTCAATCTAAACATGTAATTTTCTTCTTCGATCCATTCCACTGGTTTTTTGGTTTCGATTGAGGTCTGATTTTTGCCAATACCAGGTCATACCAGGAAAAAGAGGCAGAGAGAGAGGGAAAAACACAAATAGAAACTGACAATTACACATAAATGTGATTTCAAAAAATCTTGGAGAAGGGTGAAGAAAAATTGACATACCATTCTTTCCAGTCCAGTTACTGGATCCAGTTTTTTTTCGACTTGGGTAGATGAGTAATAGGTTTCATCTGACACCGAATACCAACCTTCATATTTGCCTTTATAAATATGTCCATTTTCCGACAAGGTATTCTAAGCAGTATCATTCAATTCTGGATATCAATTTTTCTTCTATATTAATTGCACCAATTTGTTTCCTAGATTAGATGAGGGCAGGTCAGATGAAGTACAGAAACTCACCCAAAGGTGCTGTGCCGCTCGATGATGACGAGGTTCGGTTGTCCGGATAAAGTCATCATATTTGACGTTTGCCGCTCGAGCCAATTGCTACCCAAGGGAGATGAGGATGGATTATTACAATCATTTTCATCAAATCACAGCTTGTAAAAAACGACGTGAACGGGAGATCTTACACACTCGAAATCGATCCGAGACGGCTTCGCAGAGCTCTTGAGGTGATTGCCGATTATTTTCTGCAGCACGTTGAACCTTGGATCCGTGTTCATCTGTACCGGTGAGCATGAAGGATGGTGTATCTGTTTTCAATTGATTATATCGTCCTAGGACATCGGCAATGACCATTGAGTGAAGATGGCCAATATGGGGAACTGTGCGGGTTTGGGGTGAGGTTAGTTTTGGTTCCTTCTCTATACATCTGAAACAAGCTAGGAAATAGTTAGGCTCACCAGAGTTGACATAGAATATTGGAGTAGAGACATAGAATGGTTTTGGTGCTTCAGTCCCCACAGAAGTTTTTGAGGGTTTTGGTACTGATGAGCTGGCAAATCGACTGTGGATCTTGAATTTGATTGACGTTTGAGTGAGTAATGTTCTGGGATGTGGTGATGGGAAGCAGCTGGTGGCTATCCTGATCTTGAACATCCTTTCCGTGAGTTTCTTGTTGGTCGTTGGTTGGTGTTCTTGGGTTTTCTTCTTGCTGTGCACAATTTGATGATTGGTGTCCAGGGAGTGTGACAGCTGAGTGATCGTAAGTGACATCCAATGTGGGCCTGTGACAGGCGGGATGCATATTCATAATCCCGGTTGAATCGGCCTCCCACAGCGTCGGATACTCAACTTCCGCTCGGTCGGCATCGCCTTCGTGGCTCAGCTGGTTAGAGCGCCGGTCTCATATTCTGAATCATCACGAGTATCAATATGACCATCCACTCGGATGGGCCATCCGGAGATCGCCAGTTCGATCCTGGCCGAGGGCATTTGTTTTTTGCCTGGCATCCTCTCGAGCCTGCTAATTATTGATTAGATTCAATGATGCCGATGAGGCTGATCGATGACCGACGGGTCAAACCTCTTTTTTTGCGGGTTCAACTGAAGAAAACATGTATGTGTAAGAATAGACAGACTCAATCCCTGACTCACATCGATCAAAGGGCCTTTAGGCGGTTCCGACAGAGTAAGTTGATGGAACTTGGAATGATGGCGACTGGTGTGTGGTTCAGACAGAGCCAGTCTGTGGAAGAATTGAAACTGGCAACTCACAAGTTGACAAAAAAAGAAGTATACCCCAATGGTAATATTTCAAGTGTGAGCTTAGCAAAATCAAAAGATGAAGGGAAAATTCTGGTTTGAAACTGCACAACGAGGTATTTAGAGTAGCCTGAAATGGAAAACTTGCTTACTTAGGGGCCTGTACCACAGACACCAATTTTTCCAATTTCCAGGTCAATTTCCAATGAATCTGGCAGAATACATCACCCTTGATTTCCAGCTTTTTTGTGGAAATCAGTAACTGAATTCTGGTTTGTGAATTTAAAAAAGACAAAAAATTGGAATTGAAAATTTTTCCAGGGGCATACAGGCCCTATGGTTATGTTAATCAAGCATGTCATGCACTCAGATTTTAACTCACACCCTTGTGCAAACCTCCACTGAAGTTATGGGGAAGCAAATTTACACAGGATAAAAATCCAAAGAGGATTGATAGATCATGTCAGGGGGGTTGATAGAGACTATCTGCCTATATTGTGTGCCTGCCACCCTTACATTTTCCCATCAAGCTTGCTGTCAAATTGTGCTGTCTTAGATCTCATTGAATTGTGGGGTATCCAACTTCATTTGCCAGCTCACTTTGTGGTTACATCTCAATTTTGATTTCTAGAAATTGGATCACTTTTGAAAACCCACACAAAAATTATACAAATTTGTGAGTTTCCCATCTCTTTACATTTGCAGCTGATAGGTAAAATTGACATGACACAATTCCTGAAAGAACCCTTGTATACACAGGCACCAGAGCCATGAATCTGAGTGATGTGTTCCAAACATTCCTCATTCCAATCAAGTGTGTATAAGATATATCAAAACCTAGGCAGAAATAAAGGCATTGATAACATTTGACACACCTATTAGAACATTTCATGTCTGCACTTTTCGCTAGCTCCCTGATCAGACACCAGATTGCTGATATTAAAAAAGAACAGTAAAGTTTATGAAAAAAAAATTGGTCACATTGGCACTGAACCAGCAGATGGAAACAGCATGATCATTAAGTTGGCTGGGATATCTCCATATTTTGAGAGAAGATGATATCAACCAGCAACCAACAGGTAAACCGTAAGATTTCTTTTGACCAAGCTATTAATTTTGCAGTAAGATTTTACCAAAACAGCGGCCCAGTAAGCTAACTAAAAAGTCGGACATGTACCGTCCTATTACTTTTTGAAACCCAAAAGCAGGAGCCAAAAAAAAGAGAGACAAAGCGAACTGAAGCTTGAAAAACCCTAAACAAATGAACACATGTTGATACTACTGATTCTAGTCTACCCGGAACACACGTGACAAGCGCAAAACACGCATACATAATTATTAACACTGAGATTTAGCTTTGTGGCTACAATGTATCCGGAGAGTTTTCATCGACAACGATCACACCGTAAGTCTTCATGACACACCGACAAAAACAAAATCTCCGGTTTTAAATTTGAAGCAAGAAATCTGTTTGTTCAAAATTCACAACTACAGGCATACCTGATCCAACAATGTGTTGCACTCGAGACCCGGCCACTATTGACCACGGGAGTAGACCGTGGTAACGATCTTACCGATACGAGTTGACCGTGACTCTGCTCGGGTCACCACACCTGACTGCCGATAGGCACAATCCCAGGGCTTCAATTGATGGAATGTGTTCCTCAAGAAGCGCCAGGCACGTTGTTTGAGGATTATCCAAGGGACTCTTATACGCGGGTAGAAAGATTGCGAAAGGTTCAGCCGAGCGTGCGGCGCAATTCCAAGACCAGCTTCCTCAGCAGTACCATATGCATTCATAGCTTGATGCCACCATTGTAGGCGTTTTTTCTCGACCCCCGAGATCTTGCTCAAGCTAATCACCAGGTCCTTTATCTGCTCCGGGTCACCTGACTGCTTGATCTGTGCGATTCTGACCCATTCATCAAGATCAAGCCCTAGTTGACACCAGAACAGGATCTGCAAACCGCTCCCATAACTACCTTTCAAGCTTCTATTGCTCCGCAACAGCTTTCGCACTGCCGCCGTTGAAAGTGGGTTTTCGCTTTCGGACACTTCAATGGATCTGGCCAGCTTGATCAAACGTTGCTTGTATTCTGATTTGTAGACCCACTGAAGCCAAGTTTGCTCAGGGGACTCAGGCCCAGGGAAATCCTTACCTTGCTCGGCGAGCACTTCGAGAATTTGAGCAAATGATTCGTCGAATGTCATGCGTCCGAAAGCGTCGCCAATGAGGAAATCGCAGTATAATTGGAGTGAATCTGCTATCTTGCAAGCTGTCAAAACATCCACCCCATATCGATCAGCGCGGCGTTCAATTAATACGCGCTTTAGCCAGTGCAGGTCAGGCCCCTTTCGATTCATCTTGTAATCATTTAATTCTTGGCGTCTTCTTGCCTCATTCCTACCACACAGACTTTCAAGAATGCTACCAACGGTCCAACTACCGCCAGAGCCAACCGCAGTATCCCAACGCCAGTGTCTTCTCGGAATCTTATCCACATTGTCCGCATTGAAATTGCATTCAACTGATAAACCATAAGCATCTTCTAGATCATCAAGCTCGCTGGGTGGGATTCGACCTAATATCATCTGTTGACATCTGAATTGACTCCATCGTAGGCTTATAGTCACTCTATGAAGAAGGCGACGAAAGCTTAACAGACGCCTTTTGGCCTCAAATTGGTCAGGGAAAAGAGTCCTTATCTGCGTTTCCGCAGATTCCCATTGCAATTTTGACGCCCTCCACAACTTTCGTAACTCTGACCAAATTACCAGTGGCACGAATGGTGCAACCTCAACAAAATTTTCCATGGGCTCCCGAATGTTCATCAAATATAACATCAAGTAAAGTAGCTTTGTATTGAGCTTCTTCTCAGTCCATTTCTTCCATAAATCTTTTGAAACCGCTTTGACTACAAATTCCCGCATATTATTTGGTTCCAGGTGCCTGAGTAGATTGGCTTTGCGATCATGCGGCATGTTTATCTCCCCCTCTTTCCCCTTTTGAGTTCCAAAGATATCTTCTAATGCGCACATCGCTTGATCCTTGTCTACCTTGGTGCTTAACAGGCGGACTGGTTTAATTTTCTTCTTCAAAGGAGAGTTCGCCTGAAGATCTTCATTTGCTGGAAATCTCCTGACTTGAGCAATCAAAGACTTTTGGATGTGATCAAAGTCGGCTTCTTCAGGGTAATTCTGAATTTCGGCTCCGGATTTCTTGGAAAGTCCAAGGTTTGTTTCAGGACTAATCCTTGAGCCTTGATCAATAAATTCTTTGATGTTGGGAGAGATCACTATTCCAATGACCAATGCCAAAATCAACAGCTGGAATGGAAAAATAATAACTTGCAGATAGCCGTACATTTTGATTGGTACCTAGCGTCAAAACCAGTGACTAAATTGATTATTAAACCGCGAGTCAGAATGGGGTATTTTAGCGTGTAATATATTCAGAGGGAGCAGCAGAAAACAGGCACATTATCAGACACTATCGCAACGAAGAGCAAGTCCTTATGAATAGCTACAGAAAACCAAGCTGCTTGGTGCAAGACGATGGTACATGTGGACAGATTTCCTCTTGAGTGGCATTTCCTGTCGTTGATCAGTTGTGTTTTGCTTTACAGGTATTGCCACAGTGAGATCTCGACTCTGCCCTATGGAAAGGTGTGGGCATTTTAATTTGTAAGCCAGCACAAACTCCCAGGAATGATTATGTACACCACACTCTCCAGCCGCCCCGAAGTCAATAAAACAAGTTACGCACGTGTGTGCGACTGCGTCAATACTACGATTGCTAGACAAGTACTAAACATGGCTTATCTCGATGTAACTCTGATGCACCAACTCAAAATGTTGCTTGAACCCAATGCCAATGCAAAAAAGCAGCCACCACATGTGTCATGGGGCCATGAACATTGAACATTACCTTCTGTAGGATACATGTTATCAAGGTATTCAATATCACACCAATCCTTTTTTCAACAATTGTGTTTCATTATTCACACAAAAAAGCAACAATAAAAACATTAATATTTGATGAATTGATTCCTGTTTCAAATGGCCTTTCACTTAGTATTCTGATCTATCATCCAGTCAAATCTAAACCTCCCTATCTGCTCTAACATAATTTTAGTTATTTTTCAGATTTTGATTTTGGACAATCAATCATGTTTGAGTTACTACTCTTGCCCTTTTACATAACACACTGTTAATCTTACATTCTTTCACCATGACCAAGAACATTTCTCAAACTGAAGAACAAGTCTCCTTGGTGGGAGGCTTGCTGGTGTAACTGGTTGGGTGTGAATTGCAAATGAGCACTGGCATTCCAAAATTGTTTTCTTGCTTGCACAATAAACATTGGCCTGGTGGTGGGGAAAACCTCCACCACTCATTAATTATCACTCAGATTGATTTTTAGTTCTAATTGATGAAATAGATTTCCTTTTTTTTCCAAGAAAGATTGGCATGGAAATACAAATTAAAAAAAAAAACAGAAAGATCAACAAGATGGAAGAGAACAAGAAAAATAGTGCATCAAAATTTTGACAATAATGGCATGGAAGCCAGAGGTGAAGATACAAAAACAGGCCTCAGAATGATGTCTTTCTCAGGCCAGATTTGTTTTTCTATGCATAAACCTCTCTGTGAGACTGGTCTGCCACCCAGAATTTTCCACTCAGCTGTTGCCACTTGTACCAGCTGCAGCCAAAAGAAAATCTGGATTGATATTTTTGGTCAATTGAATTTCAATATGTATTTCTGGCCTTGAGAGGCAAGATGAAACATGTGGATTCTAAACGCAACTGCTATCAAATTAAATGTGAATGATAGATCATGAGATAATTCTTTGTAAAATCAAAAAGTAATTGTTCAAAGCATGCTCTTTCAATTGAATTTTGCCACAGATGTTATTTATGTATATAGGGCCATCACATGCTGTAGTGTACAGATACAATTTAAAAATTGATAACGTGCCAGGATGTTGATTGGGTTGGGTGCCCAACAAGACAGCACACCTTTGAAAGTGGCAAATCTCAACCCAGACTTTATGGTTTAATTTACATGAGCTGCTCCCAGGCCAGATAATCCTGAGTATGTTGCCTTGATTCCCCCTTCTCTCATGAATTGAAATATCAACATTTTCCAGCCAAGCTCCAAAAATAGCAGGTGCTGGTGAGATCTAAAAAGTCAATGGGTGTTTGAAAATGTTTAATTTCTCAGGGATTTGATGCCTCCCTGTCATTTATTCGCCCTTGTCTCTCAGCCCTCATAGAAGATTTCCTAATCAGTAAAGCTGTTTTTCTTGGCTGACCTTCCAGTAAAGCTGTTTTTCTTGGCTGACCTTCGCTTGATCTGTCGGTTTGTGACAGGTCTCGTCCGCCCAGTGTGCACTGTGGATATGCATAATGAGTTATTCATTATCAAGCATGTGACACTTTCCTCTGGTCTGTGGGTGCACTCAACCAGAAAAATTCAATCCAAAGCCAACCAACACTGTCCAGGAACCATAACGAAAACCAGCCACTTCGACCGAGCGATGGCCCCCAATCCATCAACCAAACCAAACAAAAAATCAACCAAACGAAAGAATACCGAGCCCAAGCCATCATCTTCTCAAACCCAACAGAAATCATCATCGAAATCAGAACCCCCAAGGAAAAATAAAACGAAGAAGCAAACGCCAAAAGTAGAACCTGTCTTATTGAGATCGAGTCCGCCACAAGTTCAGGAAGATTCATCAAGTGAATCAGGAGAAGATATCGAAGAGGGTCCATTCCCAGAACTATTTCTGAGCGATGACGATGGCGAAGAAAACCCCGTAAATGGATCGAAGAAAGAGGCTGTCGAGGAATTAGAAGATGTAGTAGAGAATGAGGAGGATGATGATGAAGATGATGAAAGCTTGGATGTATCAGATGAAGTGGATGATGAAGAATTAGGTAGTCTGTTAGATGACTCCAATTCTGAAACTAGCAACGATCCTTCAACAGACAATCTCGATAACGTCATCGCTCGCTCAAGCTTCAAGCCAGACGAAGACGACTCCGAAGTAATCGACCCTTCGTTCTCAATGTTAGGCAGGAAGACGGACTACATGAGTCGAGCCATCTCAAAACCCTCGGCTTTTGTGAAGGGCGCAAAAATTAATGTCTGGGATGAAATCGAACCCGGGTATGGAAGTGAAAGCTCGACAGAAGATGTAAGCTCTCAAATCTGATTTCAAGAGAGTGGTCTCTCTGTGGCACATCAGAAAATTGAAGTCTATCTGTATCCCTCTCTCTTCGATTGTAAAAATGACAGGCACCTAATCGGATCGGAAATATCCCGTCACATTTCTATGATGATATGCCCCACATCGGATACGACATCAATGGAAAAAAGATCATGAGACCGGCGAAGGGCGACGAACTTGATAAATTTTTGGCTGGGATCGAGGACCCCACCTCATGGTAATCGATCTATTCATTTTTTCTTGTTTTTTTTTTTTTTTCTAAGCTTATAATTTTGCTATAATATTATGATTGATCACAGGACAAGCGTGGAAGATAAACTGCTTCAGAAAAACGTGGCGTTGACAGATGAAGAGTTGGAGATCATCCACAAACTGGCCAAGGCTGAAAATGTGATGCATTTCTTTTGGTTTTCTCTCAGCTTTTCCAATACTCATGGCTAAGCTTTTGAACTGACGAGACTGGATCCCTTCCCTTTTTCCTACACTTTTGTCTAGCCTGATGCTAAATTCGACCCCTACGAGCCTTTGAACGAGTTTTTCACCGGCAAGGGTAAAGAGATGTCGCAACCTTTATCTGGAAAGCCGGAACGTACGTCCCATTTTTCTTTTGAGTCCAGAGAAAATTACATAACACTGATCTCCCTCATTGATTTCCACTCAGCCAAGCGACGGTTCATTCCATCCAAATGGGAGCACAAAAAAGTGATGAAGATTGTTAGGGCAATCCGACAGGGTAGGATCGTGCCCAACAAGCCCAAAGTTGAAAAGCCGCAGTTCTATGGACTCTGGTCCGGCGAGGATCAACCACGACCGATGGGACCGATGTACATGCCCGCACCCAAGCTGAAGTTGCCTGGTCATGTTGAAAGCTATAACCCACCAGAAGAATACTTATTTGACGACGAGGAACGAAAAGCGTGGGAAGAAGCCGAGCCTAGCGACCGCAAGCTCGACTTCATCCCGACTAAGCATCCCAATCTGAGACTCGTACCTGGGTATTCAAATTTCCTTCAAGAACGATTTGATCGATGCTTGGATCTTTATTTGGCCCCACGGATGTTGAGACGGCGACCCAAGCTAGATATCTCGGACCCTTCAGAACTCTTACCCAAACTGCCATCTCCCAAAGATTTGCGCCCATTCCCATCCATCTGCTCGATCGAATATGTTCACGAAAACGGGGCGCGTATCCGTACCGTCTCTATTGATCCTACTGGGATGTGGGTTGCGACTGGCTCGGATGATGGGCAAGTTCGTGTGTGGGAATGCAAAGTCGGCCGGTGCGCTATGAGTTGGAAGTTGGGTGGAAAGGACAACAGCCCGGTTTATTCTGTTGAATGGTGCCCAGACGGACGGAAATGCATCCTCAGTGTAGTTGTGTCAGTCAAATAATTCTTATCCAGACCTGTTAGGAAAAGGTAATGAAGAACTGAATAAGATTGTCCACATTAGAAATGGACGCATCTATCTATTATCACCTCTCCCAGTTCTGTCCCCTTCATTGGCGGAAGACACGATTCAAGCAGCCCACTTAGGATTCGAGACAGCGACTGAAGGGCCCAAGGTCACAGCAGCCAAATGGAGCCGGGCGAGTGAAGAAGAACGAAGGAAGGGTGTTCTGATCGAGATCTCAGTGCCTGGAACACCGAAGCAAGTGAGCTGGCACAAACGTGGAGATTATTTCGGGAGTGTGGCTACCGAGGCAGGCAACCAATCGGTCTTGATCCATCAACTGTCGAAACATCAAACTCAATCGCCCTTCCGCAAAGCTAAAGGGATCGTCCAAAAGATCATCTTCCATCCATTCAAACCTCTTCTCTTTGTTGCTACCCAACAGCTTGTCAAGGTATACGACCTCCTCGCTCAGACCCTACTTAAAACACTCCAGCCCGGTGTTAAATGGATCTCCAGTCTCGACGTTCACCCCTTGGGCGATAACGTCATCATTGGTAGTTATGACAAACGGCTTGTGTGGCATGACATGGATCTTAGTGAACGTCCTTATAAAACTCTCAGGTCAGTTCAATAGAAGTGGCCAATAGCTTAGATTCCTTGTACACTAAACACTGGCGGCATATTTTGTTTTGTTTTTGTTTTTGTTTTTGTTTTGTTTCTGAGAAAAAAGGTACCACGAAAAAGCGATTCGATCCGTCTCGTTTTCGCCCAAATTCCCGCTATTCTCGTCGACTTCAGACGATGGAAACATCCAGATCTTCCATGCGAAAGTGTTCAGCGATCTGATGATGAACCCGCTGATCGTGCCCCTGAAGCTGATCAAAGGCGCACACACTGTCCATCAATCGTTGGGCGTCTTGGATTCTGTCTGGCATCCAACCGAGCCCTGGATCGTTAGTGTTGGCGCTGATGGGGTCGCCAGACTGTGGTGCTCTTAGACTTCATCCATCATTTTCTTCTGCTTTCTGGTTTTCGTCTCTTTCTTGTTGCTTGGAAGATTCAATTTCTTAATCTCTATATCAACCGATCACGTCTTTTACACGAGTCACAAATGCATCCTATTTTATACCATTACTTTGAGCGGGGGTATGTTCACCTCCCGTTTTCTCAGATTTGTTCTTGAAGCGAAGTTACTGCTCCCTCATCTCAGCAATTACTTATGTATGGTGCGCTGTGTTCTTCAAGCGAGAGGAAGGTAGGTGATTGAGTGGTTTGATTATGCGGCGCGATTCATAGCATGTGACATCATGCCAAGATCATCTCAATAATTTACAACTGGGCGTGATAGGGACTAGCACTCTCGACACCCAGCGTGTCACCGCGTCGAGGTGAAATACACACACATAAATCTATGATCCTTTGTAATCATGAGATTTCAGATACACACCTAGCAGAAAGGTGGGACTCAACACAAAGTCCCGCTCGAACTTGCTCGATGGCTCGGCAAGTGTTGAGTAGTCCTGGCGGGAATTCAGGTTAGCTGTAGCCCTTCTGCAAAAACCAAGCGGTTCCGATAGCCGTGATTGCCTTCGTGTCTGATTTGGGGACCAGCAAGTGCTGATGGCAGCGGTTAGTCAGTAGCTACCGTGACTCCACCCCCCACCCCGGCGAGCGCCAGGTTTACTGGTGCTCCAGTGGGATCCCACCTTGCCATCACGCCTACATATCACGCGGCCCTCACGCAGCTGCACCTCTAGATTATCAACAGATCAGACGGGGAGAATGAGCGAACTTTAGCACACAAGTCCCCAGTACCAGTGGACCCGCCAGCTCGAGGGACTTATGTAGCTTAAGCTCGGAGAATGACGTACTTTCTCGTTCAATGACTAGAGTGGCACTGTCGGCCAGGAAGGATGTGTTCAAGTGCTCGAGTGATCTGCTTATCGTGAACGATCCGTATTTTTAGCCCGCTGGTCCGGCAGCGAGATACTCAACTCCTCGATGGTTTAGTCGGGAAAACGGAGAGCGACAAAGCTTGGAATCAATACCAAGCAGATAATTCGAACACTTATATGCTTAGCCGGGCTGTGAACCCATACAATACTGGGCCGGTCATCGGGTGGCATAAAGATCCTGTATCTTGGATTGCAAGCTGCTCATGCTCGACACATTCACTTTATAATCCTGGAAGACGGCACCGCTGATCAAGTAGTCACCGTCGCCCATTCACCATTTCACAATTTCAACGCCCTGCCTGGTAAACTGCAGGAGAATTTTACGCTCAGGCTTTCTCTTTTCAAACATTTTCTACTTATTTCATAATTATCGGGAAGCTCTTTCTCTAAGCTATACATAGGTGGGTTTTATTTTTCCGAAGAGAAAGGATCATGGGGCCGCCTTCAGAAAAAGTCGACAAGGATGTTTCCTGGCCAGACGATTCGCATCCTGCGGCCGCTGTACTTCCTGTGTTACCGCATCAGCCTAGGGCTACACCACCAGTGCAGAAGGATGTCCAAGTGGCAGGGTTCAGGGGGCTGGCACCAGGACAGCAGCTCCCACAGCTCAGAGCATCCCAGGCGCGTGCTCCTCCACAAATAAAAGGCCAGCCACAGGACGTCCTTGTGGAGCATCCACGTGACGTCCCCCCAAAGCATCCTACTGATGGCCAGGAGGTATTTGAGGGACGTCTCCTCCAAAAATTGTACATCCAGAAGAACATTCCATGTGGTGTCTCTGAGCCGCCACCAACACAGCATTTAGGCATTTTTCTTGCAACATCAGGATGTCATTGAGCAGCACACACACACACACACAACCACCAGAAAGCTTGAGGAAACTCACTGTACAGTATTCCCACACCAATTATCAGTGAATCAAAGTGTGAAATGGTATTTATTGTCAATAACCCACAGAAAAATACAATTGGTTGTTTACAACAAAGCTAAAAAACTACTCCAATTAAATCGATCCAGGCAACAGGATTGAGAATACTGCACTGTTGTTGTTCAATGTCTTCAATTCAGCTAGTAAGTCACTCAAACCTAAGCGAGATAGGCAATGGACAGCAAGCAACTTCTCATATCTATTCCCAATCCCCTTGCACTTCGTTAGTTTGCTTTTTTTTCTTGTTGAATCCTGCTTTTTTTTCTTGGGCAAGGACATGAAATTTTGAAATATATGATACGGTCAACTGACCCTTATGAATTTTCTTCGTATATCCCATTCAGTGGCCCTCCTTGGTCATCAGTAAATAGTCCAATTCGTTTGATCCGACCTTTTTCTGAAACTCTGTCGCGTTTCTCTGATAGTCTTGATTGTCCTTAGCAGAAAAGAAGGAAAGAGCACGAATGTAAGGATGGGGGAAAGATGGGCATGTAGCTGGCCAGATGAAAACAAAACTCGACGCAAGATCAGCCTGAAGGAACTCGAATTGTTGTTTAGAATTGGCTCTGTTCCTGATTCCGACTGACGATGAAGACTCTACTAGCACCAAGTTGAACACATCATAGAGCAATTCTTCCACCTCTGGAGACACTACGACAGACATGTTGTGAACAGTTTCAATTAGATATTGTGGGATTGAGCCTGGATTGATGAAATGTTGATCGGAGATGGGGGGATTTAGACTGGAACAATGAACGAACCGATTGGAAGGGGTGATTTAATACTGGAGCAATATGTTTCAGTGGGGGAAGATGAAAATGGCTTGTGAATGAGAAGAGGATGAGACGGTCAACGTGGGCACACAGTCGAAGTCCTTCAACTGTGTGCCAACGTTGATCATTGCTTATAATTATGTACAATCAACTGTGCGACAGTCGTTACGAATGGGGTTCAGCGGTGCTGATCCCCCATTCACCACCAGAAACGGACCTCTGAGCAGTCGGCCTTCTTGCCCAAGGCCGACCAGAAAAAAGGATAAGAAAAAACTGGGGAAAGATTGAAGTTGAACAACAGTATATGTTAGCAAACTTTACGTCGTATTTGGTTGCGACAATTGGTCTCAATCAAGCTGTATCAGGACTTTTTTGCGAGGGTACTTTGGTCTCAATCAAATCAATCAAAAGCCAAAGAAGTGATATCAGACATGATTTTGAAAAATTTATCCAAATCATTCATTGATTTCAATTTGATAAGCTCCTTTCTGGCCATTAAAATTCTCAAAGGAGGATCGGACAAAGCACTTCAGGCGGCTTTCGATATCACAGAAGAATATACCAACCAATCAGTGGAACAAAATCTGAGGAGTGGGGAAGAGGATCCAGTCAATGAGTCAATTCGCGACTTCAAGAATTGATTCTCTGAACTGCACGAAACAAAAGAATCACACAGGATCCCAAATCAGAAACCAACACAAACTCAACTTTTTGGAGTTTACAATCAAGCTATTAACCCAGCAACCAAGCCATAATGAACATGCTTTCGTTAAATCTTTTGATGCCTGCAAGGACGTCTTGAGCAGCTGTATCAGACAAGTCAGGGAAACTGAGATCGATGAGATCAATAAACAATTGATTAAACAACGAGCTATACTTTTCAAATCTTTTTATGAGGAACAACTGCCCGCTCCTTCAAGTCTGACCGACAGCAATAAGGATCATTCCGACCTTCCGGGTGGCCAGACCGGGGATTCCATTGATGATAAAACAATCTTGTTGTCTGACCAATTGAATTTCCTCTTTTGACTTCTCTTTCTTGGACAGTTTTCTTTGCTCTTTCAAAATCAAACTGTTTCACAATGGCTAATAATGTTAAGATTCTGTACATCACATGACGTCTACTTGAAGCAAATGAAAATACCTATATTCTAATCTTGCATTACATCCCCAGATTACCTGAAACATATAGTTCACATTTTGAAACATCCTCTCTGATTGTAAATTTCCATCAAGATTCTCCAATTTTTTGCATTCATCAAGTATTATACTTGAATCCAGTATTTTTGTGTTGGATGATATCTTGACCATCAGATCCCACATTTTTTCTGGTTCATTGTTCATCAAGAAACTTGATTGGGGATTAATGTTAAGAGAATTTTGGAGTTCATTAGCTGGTGATATAGCTTGAATATAATTGTGTGAAATCCTATGGAATTCTTTTTCAAATACTTTATCTTCTAAGAAATGAGTTTTATCTCCAAAAAAAGAAGGTTGAATCCATGGAAGTACATTGATTTTAGTGATCTCATTCAGTTTACTACTTGACTCCATATTAAGGCTACCTTTGAATAAATCTGGAACCTGAATCTTAACCAAGTGAAATATGAAATTTCTTTCAAGTCCAAACAAGAAATTCCCCTTTTACATGTTTCTGGTGGCATAAAAAATGATCATAGAATTTAACACAATTTTAACAATATCTACTGGGCCTTTATACAGCACTCCTAAGAAATGCTTTCTATCATATCTATCTACCAACTGATAAATATTCTTTCTCAATCCTGGTGACATATGTGGCATACATTTAAACATGCTGTAAAACCTTTGGAAGAAGGTTTTGATTTTCTTGCTAGTTTCATCTGCTGTTTGTTCAGAAGTTAATTGTGAGTCAGGATATTCTCCAAGGATCATGAGAAGCCAATCCTGAAGAAAAAAGTGCCCCTCCAAATAATATTCTTTTGAATGTCCAAAAATTTGAAGGAATTACAAGTTGATAAACCAGAGTAGGTCTGAAAATCCTTCAAATTTTTCAGATGTGTTTATCCTGGTAAATTCTTCTTTTTTGATTGGAGATTTCTGGTTGATGATTTCAAATGAATGTTATTTTGCTCAATTGTTCTGGTTTTTGGGTCCTTTCATGCATGAGGATGACTGTTGTCCCCCTGTCAAGTGTTGAAGCCGGTTGGGCTTCCGGACAGCATGGTACTGTCACAGGGAGACTCAGATGCCATGGGCTTTGAGTGGGAACGGCTAGGTGATGGTTGAGTTGGTGTGGGACGTGATACGGATGCGTGGGGGGGGGAAGTGATGACTCAGGGACAATTGCCTCCCTGAACTGCACTAAGTTTTTTCAAGTTTTACAGAGTGTCCTGCCTGTGTAAGTGACGGTTGAGTCAGTGTGGGACGTGAGACAGACGCCAAGGGGGGCAGTGATGACCTGGAGACGGCTCAGGGACAATGATATCCCTGGGCTGTGCTGAATTTTTTAAGTGGGATGTGACAGGGATGCCAGGCATGGACAATGATGTCCTGTGGACGTCATCCCGGCCCAGGGACATCTCAGGTACAATGGCATCCCTGGGCTGCACCAATTTCTGTGAAGTGTGATGTCCTGGGGACGGCATCCCGTCCCAGGGACATCTCAGCTGCAATGGCATCCCTGGGATGCACTGATTTTTGTGAAGTGCCCTGCGTGTGTAGCTGTCAGACCAGGTCGAAATTCACGTATGACGATGAGCTCGCAACACAGAAGCGGAATCAAGAGCGGCGCTCTGTGAGGTTAATTGACGAGATAGAAAACGCAAAAGATTCAACCGGTTTGCAAGGAAACTCGCTCAAGCGCCCTCAGCGTGCGGACTCCAGGGGATTGGCTGTCAAGTCGCCACTTCACGAGAACGAAAACTATTCGGATCCGTTTGACGATATGGCTGTCCTGGACACCGAAATGCGAGACGATGACGGCGAGCGCACTATGACGTTCCGCTCCGTCTTGATCGGTGTGCTAACTTCCATCCTTGGAGCCGCGATAGCGGAGGTCAGTGTACCTTTTGGGACAATTCCAAATTTTATGGCCAACTTGCTGATAGTGAACAACTCATTCCCTTCAGGTCTTCATGTTCAAGCCCGTGCACATTCATGTGGACATACTATTTCTTCAGGTATGCTCGTGGTTGATGTAGTTTGAATTGGTTTTCCAACTAGCTCATAAATTCTCGACAGATAATATGCTTGCTTATGGGCCACTTTTTTGCAACGATCCCGGGACCGCTGTGGTGGAATCCAGGGCCATTGGATACGGTTAGCTTCAAAGTTATCTGTTTTTTAAGAAGTAAAAAGCTGATTCTATTGTGGTCTCCCATAGAAAGAGACTGTCTTTAGTGTAATCATGGCAGCTTCCGCGTCTGCCGGTGTCCTTGGGGTGGAGGTGAGTTGACCCTTGAAGCATCCGAACAGTGAGTGGCAAGAGATGCTAATGTCCTTCAACAGGTTATCGCTGCTCAAGATGTCATGTTCGAGAAGCGCATGTCTATGATCGTCTCGATTATGACCCTGCTGAGTAGTCAGCTGATAGGATATGGAATCGCAGGGTAATTTTTCATGACAAGTTGATTTTTATTGAAATGGATAAAAAGAGAAAGCAACACTCACCATATTATTTGGTTTCCCGCCAGGCTGTTGCGCCCAATCCTGGTTTATCCAGCCGAAATAATTTACCCGTAAGTTGACCTCCCGAGTCCGCTGTCAAACTGCACGTCGGCTAATAACACACTTCTTTCCAGTGGTGTGCTACCGGTCGTTGCACTGTTTCAATCCATGTCCAGTCAATCACAAACAACTGTCAAGCAGATGACATTCTTTAAGAAAGCGATATCGGCCATCTCTCTTTGTAAATCAAATTCGACCTTACAAGGAGAGAATCATGACAGGACTGACCAACCCTTCTGTTCTGATGATTCACAGATGAAATCATCCCAACTTACCTTGCACCAGCCCTTTCAGCGGTTAGCATCTGGTGCCTGACTTTGCCGAAAGTCCCGGCAATAACAAACTTATTCGGTGGCTCCTTGCCGGCCGAAGGCATGGGTAAATCTCCCAGGCTTAAAACGGCTCTGTCGGAATGTAGAATGAAGCTTATCCAAACCTATCCCCTTCAAAATCTAGGTCTCATGGCTTTCAGTGGGGATTGGACTCTAGTAGGCAGCCATTCACCGCTTTTTGTGCCTCTTTTGGCTCAGGTAACTTCAATTTGCATTCCTCCAACAATTAGATAGATATCGTTACTTTGCCTAACCACTTTGTAATCAACCATCATCACAGATGACGGATTGGTTGGCGTATTTTGGATGCATTGTCATTTATTCGGGTGCTTATACAGCTAATTGGTTCAGTGCGTGTTTGGATAAAAGTCTATCATCCCAGAATGACTTGATTAACTTTCATTTCGACAGGTGGAGGCCATCTTCCCTTCATTTCGTACAACATTTTCGATAAGAATGGCCACAGATACAACTTGACCGCCGCCGTGATGAAAAACGGAACCGGGAATGCCAGCGTCATAGAGCAACTGGGCCCGCCATCCTTCTCCACTAGCTTTGTGCTATCTAAGTCCTTCTTATGCATGGCCGCATCTGCTTCGGTAACTATCGGTATGTATACCAGCCTCGTTTCCTATCTGAAGGACAGGAAACAGATAAAGATGTATGGCAAGATTTCCAAACCTTGCCCACATCGAGAAATAACGAAAAAGATGCGAGACTTCCCGGCGTAGTGCGTTTTTCATTTTCTTTCAAACACATTGGCATTGGTGGTTTCGTCTAATTGTATAAAGCTGCTTGATTTTGTATGGTGTAGTGCCTATGCTGTAATTCTCGTAGGGGCGACCGCACTGGCCTTCTTATCAAGTCATTTAGCAGATTCTGGACTTTCTCCAGAGGCTTTGGCTACATCGCTCTTGATTTCCTTCGTGCTGTGGTAAGTCGTACCAACTATCTTACAATTACAGTGCAACTAGATAGTCAAACTGAAGATGGTGCTTCAGTCTCGCTTCAGGTTATTTCTACGGAACTCTTGGTATACATCTATTCGTTGCCCGTGAGTTCGTCGAGTTTTCGCCTGCTGTTCGAGCTATCGAAGCAAAGCTGAACGCAACATTTTGGCTTGATTATTTTGACAAACCCAGCTGTCACTCAAATGCTAGGGTAAGCAGCCTATCATACATGAACTCGCTAGATGACATTCGTAATTATCAAAACCTGTCTTTTCCCCAGTGGCCTAATATTTCCTGGCAATGCAATCGGTACAATGTGGTTCACCATGTGAGTTATTCATTTCTCGAACCTCGGAGTCGAGGTGTCTTCCTGTTTTTTACTCTAACTCGTAAATTTTGGATGATGCAGGTATGGCTCAACCAGCGTAAAACAATGTGTGCTCATGCTCAAAGACTTGAAGTTGGGAACCTACATGCATCTTGCTCCGGTGAGACTTTTCTCAGCTTGTTATTTCCCCCCAAGTATTCCAGAAGCTGATGAATGCCAGCAGTTTTCCGTAGTGGTAGCTCAGTTAATTGGAACGTGAGGATAATTGCATTTTACATAATCGTCCTTTCAAGAAAGCCAATGAACTACGTTTTTTATAGGATAACAGGCGGATTGGTCCATGTTTTGGTGATGTTCTCAATAATCAATGCACAGCGCGAAGTCTTGTTAATGCCTAATGGAAACGGGATATTCACTGTATGTTAAGGTTTGGCGGGTTCATTCGAGTCCGAATTAAACACACTAATCGCGATTGTTCACAAATTTTCTCGATTTAGGGCATGTACTTGAGTGTAATAGCATCTCAATCAACTGGGTAAGTCAACATTTTCAGCACAGTCAATTTACTTGCGCCATTTCTTTCCGAGCTGACCTATATATCTTCAAATTATAGATGGGGATTGTTCAGTCAAGCCATTTACTACCCCGGAAAGATCTATGTAATGCCACACTTTTCGTTTTCTCAAGTCATCTTTTGTCATGAAGAAAAATTGACGCAATCTCCGGCCTAAATCAATTTAGGCTATCGTCCCTTATTCTCTTATGATAGGGTTCCTTGTACCCATCCCTTTCATTATTTTCAACAGGTATTATCCTGATAGTGTGTTCGCCAAAATAAATTGCTCATTGTTCATTTCCGGCTTGTCGCATGGCATGTTTGGTCAGTTTTCGTCAAGAATCATCAAAGCTTTACTGAATGAGTTCTCAACTGACTTGATGAATTACTACATCCCAGGTGCGAACTCTGGGCGCTTCACGGCTGTTATTGTGGGCTTTGTATCTCAGTTTTACATGCGGAAGTACCATTTCAAGTGGTAAGATTTACTTCTGCATTATGTTCAATGACCAAGGCCTTTTTTGACCCATCAAATGAATCTCCTCGATTGAAAACATCCAGGTACAAAAAATACAAGTAAGTGTTCCGCTAATCCTGCCCACCGGAAGTAAAACTTGAATTGGCTGTCAACTCATGCACCCATTCTCTAATTGGAAACAATGAAGCTACATCTTGTGTGCAGCTGTGAGTGTATCAAGAGCATCCTTAGACTGAGCTTTAATATTTAAAATAACTTTCAATTTTTATTTCGAAACATAGCTAGATGGAGGTACCCAGATAACCGTGGTAGCATTGGCATTCCTCCTGCAAGGAGGGGCTGGCTTCCAAATCAAAATTCCAACGTCAGTATTTCTCTAATCCACCAATGTTAATTCTACTTGACGTTACTAACGTTACTGTTAATCGAATTTCGAAATTGGACTATTTTATATCTCAAAGTTACTTCTTGAATCCTAAGGGGACTCGAGATTACTGTAAATTGTTTACTTCAAATACTGCCCATTGATCTATGTGTAGCTCAAGCCTAATTGTAATTTCAATGTATAAAGACTTTTCAATAAAAGAGACCAACATGAGTCATACTCAATTGATTTGGCTGTTGGATTCTGCTCTTAATTCAGATGGCCTTGATGGAATATGCAGAATATCAGTAATAAAAAATCAATTAATTATGGATGAGGGGATCAAGTGCAACAACTGTTGACTTTAAGGAACTCAATCAAGGACAATTTATCCAAAAATTGATTTTATCTTTCTCTGAAATATGGCATAGTGAAGTCATTTCCACATTGCTTGTTTAATTTGTCTTGTTCCCAAGCAGTTCCTTCTTACAAAACCCTACATCAAAGTCACTGGACTGTGTCAATAGACAGATCTAGTAGCGGAGAAACAATAAGGAATGTGTGTGGTGAGACCATGGAAAGAGAAACAAAGAAGGAAAAGGAAGGGAAAAGGAAAAGGAAAACAAAAAAATGACATACATTACCTATATATACAGAGCAGCACCACATCAGTGTGGTGAGTTTGTGCAAGAATGAAAAGATGTTACAGCTTGTGGCAGCAGCTAGGACAGAGACAACAGATACAATAGCATACACGAAATTTCAACGCACAAGATGATGGCTGAGAAAAAAGTGACAAGATTGTTTGAACACTGAAAACAACTCTGGTAAATCTTTCACCGTTTTTACTCCAAAGTTGGCGACCAGGATTGACCACAAACTCAACACAAGTCCCCCGTTCTTGTGGGGCTAAAGCACTTTTAGGTCAATCTTCCGCAGAGACGCAGTCCAAATCGATCGAGCAGTTTAGTCAGAAATCGGGATCGAAGCTACCGACTACGGTGGGTTCAAGCTTAACACAAAGACGGCCGACAAGACCTATGGCTGGCGCAAGCGTATCTCTTTCACCGCCTCAAAGCTAACCATTATCAATCAGTATCAATAACAGTATAACAAACACAAGGACAAATGTGTAAAAAGGGGTATTCCTCTCCGCAGATGTATCCCCACCTTTTGGCGATCCGAGAGCTTTGGTTTTTCTTGGCCTTTTTATTACAAGTTTGGGTGACTTTCTTATGATAGCTTGACAGGTGTAAAAATGTTGTTTTTGCGTGGCATTACTCGACCCGGAACCTAAGGATAAGACACTTCAACTTGAGGGTCCATCATTGAAATAGAGTACAATTAATGTTCTAGTTACAAGTTTTCATCTGACAAGAAGACATACGATCAGAAATCAATCCCACGCCATCCTAGACTTAGAGCTAACAACTAAATTGCCTTTAAAGCCAATCAGTCATTTCGCAAGGAACGTTTTCCCAGGTAGGTCTTACCCAGCGACTATGCGCGATGATTAAATATATTGATCAGAAATATTTCATCGTTCTGTCAGTTAAAAGCAAATATTATCGACTATGAAACTCTTTTCCTGGTTTTCATCAAGCTTCTTTTTAACTTCCGCCATGGGTATGAAGATTCCGAATGGAGGAAGCTCAGTGAATACAATCGAAAAAGGGTTTGAGGCAAAAGCGGGAACCGAAATCAATTGTGAGTCCCCGTTGCCGATAATTCACGATTTTCAGCGTCAAGATGTTTCTCTTCACAATCACACTGTTGACTTTTTTTGGTGCCACATAATTCTGATCTACTTTCTTTTCAAGTTGGCCGAGACGCTAGTCATGCGCCACTCGTTAAAAGACATCATCAAGATTGTGGTACCGGCTGTGAGAGTTTCCTTAATCAGTTTCCTCACGAGATCGAGTTTTTTGTATTAACAAACGTACCGAACGTTCAATCTCAGATGCCGTTGTCGGAGTCCCCGTCTACCAACCGGTAGTTTGCACAAGTTGTGGTGAGGATCATCATCATCACCATCATGACCACTGCTAGGGTAGAAAACCCAATTCATAGGTATGCAAGCATCATGTCCAAACTTCACACACAATATAATCATTAATCATCCTCATCTCTCTTGGGCTTATGATCAGCTTCCAAGCATATTTGTCCCACCATTTTTGGTTCTAGTCCTACAGTATACAAGCCTTTCCTCTTTTTCTTTGTCACTAATGGCACTGGTACATTTTCATGTATCACATTCACAATTGAACCCATTGGGGTTTCTCCTACTTATGAATTCAACTGAATTTATACAATGTTGGAATGGCATTGTAAATTCATTTAGAGAATTCAAAGTTGATATGAATAGAATCACAGATTATGAATTGAAAATCAAAAAAAGAAATGCTGATGTAATCTTTCCAGGAAATAAATTAGGAAAGATGCCTTCAGGATGCACAAGACCATAGTTATAATTTAACTAGAAATGGAAAATCATCAAGCATAAGGGCAAATGGAAGCAGATCATATGTCAGGATTCCATCTGAGTACTATCACATCAAAACTAATGGCTCTAGGGGAAAGAACATGGCCAATATGCTATGTTGTACCACTTTCTATCAGTTTTTAATACTGCAACTTTGGTTTGATGCATTATGATGCAGCATAAACACACTAGAGCTAAAGTGCCAGTGGAGCTACCTGCAAGTAAAACAAATCCATGTGCAATCAAATTTGGTCTGCACAGCCTGGCCTCATGGGGGTCATTTCACTAGTTTGATGTGATCTTGGTGGTTGTCTGCCAAATTTTTCAGGACTTGAAAGATGGATTCCATCTTGAAGTCTCTGGAAGAGGGTCCCTCATTCAATTAGGTTGTGCCTTCAGATCAGTTGGTGAACATGATCTTATTATATGTGGTTTGGGATTTTATGCAGTTTCAAATCCGTGTAGGCAAAATTGAGAATTGGGTGGACCCAAATCCATATTATGTATGGGAGGACATGCCCTTGTACAATTATGTTTTCTGAAAGACTTGATTATATGGCCTGATTTGCCAGGGTTGTTTTCTTATAGCTGCCTAGGTTGTACAACCTGGCCAACTGGAATTAGGAGTTCCACATTGTTGATTGGCTCATACAAGGGAGGATAGCCCAATAAACCAGGTGATGACAGGCATAAGTGTGTTGTATGAGCCAATCAGCCAGGAGGAGCTTCTCCCACTTGGTCAGGTTGTGCATCCTGACACCTATGGGTAGAAACTCATCCTTGTTCATCAATTTATCCAACCTTATCAAATGAGATAAACTATTTTTAAGCAATTAGAACGGTTCACATCTAGTGTTTGAGCTGGTTGAATGATCAGCCACCAGCTTGCTGATATTGAAAAAAGCAGTAAAATTTATGGAAATGTTTGGACACATCACCACTGAACCAGCAGGTGGAAACAGGATAATCATGAATCTTGGCTGAGATATCCTCATATCTTATGAGAAAATAATAGTGACCAGTAACCAACCAGAAAGTTTTTTTTGCACAAGCTATTAAATTTGTGGTAAAATTTTACCAAACCAGCAAAACAGCTGATCAGCAAAGTGACCAAAAAGCCAGACATAAACTGTCAATATGATTGGAGTAATATATTGCTATTTTTGCCTGACATCCTATGTGACATCTGATCAGGTCCACCAAAACGCCATGAGCTGTCACAAGAGTGTGCAATATATCCTGCCCAATGGAGTCTGAATTTTTGCAATTTTCAATTTTCAGCGCCTTGACTGAATTCAGACTGGATGTTCTAGCAAAGGATGTAAGAAAAATAAATGCGAAGAATTTATAGTATGTAATGGTTAGTGAGTGGAGAATATAAAAATTCAGACAAAAGCACAATGCAAGTTCCAGGGGTTTTTTTTTCAAGCTTGAACCAAACCTGAGTTACTAGTGGTGCAACATGTGAGACTGACTAGTCATAAATATCAACACATGTGCTCTTCATTGTTGCTTGATTTAAATAGCTGATAACTTTTCTTGTTTTTGATACCCAATGAGGGAAAGAGGGTTTTCAAAGCTTTCTCCAAGCCGTGGCCCTGATGCCTGGCTGCTATAGGTGAGCCCTGGTGAGCCTGAAACTTTACCCAGGGGCATACATACCCAGTTTGGCAGTTTTCAGAACCTGGACACATCTCTCGAAAACGCGTTCGGTCGGGGGGACACTCACCACATTTCAACTCGATGCGGTTGAGTCTGGGTCTTGGCCCTGGGCAAATGTTGTCGGCACCCCCATACCAAGCGTCGTCGGCTTGAGAGTTCTGCCATCCCGAGAGGGTTGGGATGACTCTTGACGAACGTGCCCACGGTCCGTTGGAATTTGAGGGATATGGCATGAGCTAGTGAGCGACATGATTCCCTTTGATGGCACTTCTCCTTCTTGATAAAGGATGAAGAATGGCGGCATCGATGTTGCATGCTTTGTCACGGGGTAGTCTGTCTTCCCTGCACGAACCTGGATTAGAAGGAAGAGATGTATGTCGATAAAACTTGTTGAGGTTGCGTGTTGGTGCTCTTGAGCTTGCCTGGTTACCAACTCAACGAGTCAGACCGCGATGGCCAGACATGTAAATTGCTACTGAACCACTGTTGCCAACACTAAAAGAGTGTACGTCTGGATCCTGGTTTGGTTACCAGCTCCAATCCATCCATCCAGAACGGCGAGAATTGTGTACATGTATTCCAATACTTCACTAGTCTGATGTGTTAAGCTTAGCTTTCGGTCATACAGCCCTCTCCTAGTTTTTTGATTGCCTTTGCTTCCATCAATTTTCTCCGCCATCCTTATAAAATACCAACCATCACGACCAGAGAGGATATTCCTTGTGCCCACGAGCTTCAAGATATGTCCAGCAAATAACTCGCTAAAATCATCTCAGCATTCCGATACAACACCAAAAGATATAATATTCAAGCCAGGCCATTGCGAATTAAGGGCTTGATACACCAGCTGATCCTGAACCAGAGGGATACACACCAGGAAGCTCAAGTTTTTGACAATTGACTTCCGTTCGCACAACCGTCAAATCGATCTTCAATATTTTGTTTTTTCACTTCGGAAGGCTCTGCTTAAAGCCCCACTTCACCCACCACCCTCTTTGCTCCCCACCCACTGTTACACCACAACGTGCACGACGCCGTCACTTGTGCGCCCTCTAGTACTCGAGCCGGAATTCTCAGTCACATCTTTTCTTCCTCCCCCTCCCCCCCCTTATAAAGACATCTATACCCGGGATCGCAAAATCTTGTCGTCGTACCTCCTTCTACAACAAGGAAACCACCAAATCAAGAAGATTGTCCAACTTCTTCGCATTTAAACCTTATATCGAGTGACGCATTCTGCTTGTATAAATTACAAACTTTCTATCCGACTCCAATTTACATCTTTATTTCAATTTTCCACCCTATCTTCCAATCTCACCTTTTCTACTTTCGTCATTTTTGTTGTTATTTTTTTCCGTAGCTTGGTATATATACCCCCAGTGGTGGTCATTATCACCCTTATAACGACCGCATTGACTCCGCTTCCAACCCAATCTCTAAATCTTTGGGATTATTTTTCTAAATACATGCTCGGTGTCTCTCCTTCGACCTAACTCAGCCTTCCCGTGTTTCTTACACTTTTCATCAAACCGGCCTGCATCAACATTCCCGGGTCGTGTTCCTGGTCGAGGCATCCTAGCAAGTTTTCTGGATATTCTACAACATACACACCACATTCCTTCAATCCACCTGTCGAATTCCTCCAGGCAAGATCTCATACTTCAAAGGAAGTTATACCCAAATCCTTACCGGCAATACTATCGCAGACACTCGCTTCAATTTTTTTTTTCAATTTTACTTTACACCCGCGTTTTCCCCAAGACTTACCCGCGTTCTCTCTTAGACTTTCACTCATTCAACTCGATTTTGACGCGACCAACCGAGCAATAGAGAGTCGACAAATCAAGAGATCATTATACACAAATCAGGTTTCTGTTGAACGGCGGTTCAGATTTGCAGCAACAGATCAGGAAGAATGGTTGACCACTTTTTGCCCATCTCAATATCCAATCGGACCAGTGCCACGATCCAAATCCATTGTGAAGCATCTTCATCAACCTCGTCAGAATACAAAGATTCTATAGGCGCCTTCCAGACCACGTTGACGAAAGCCATCAAAGCGGATTTCACGTTGAAAAACCTCGAGATATTGATATCCATTGATTTGGAAGAGCCCACATTAGTCAAGATCCAACTAGTCAAAAGGAGGAGAAGAAACTGTCGCCTCCAGGATCAGCGTACTGAGGCTAGTAGTAGTACCACCACCACCATCACCGATGATAATCAACACCCCACAAAGAAGAACGAAATCCTTCGCAACAAATCTGCTATCATCAAGAACAAAATTCAAGGAACGCTGCTCAGTAAAGTCGATCAAAACCGGAAATTCTTCAGATTGAAAATTGATTATTATTTGAATTCTCAGCCTCTCAAACCCCGAGACCAGCAGATTATTGAAGAGCAAGCTGAAGCTGACGACGCGCCACTCGAGCAGCCAACAGAGGTGGCTATAGCTCAAGACAACGACGCTGAGCATCAAGCACTGCAAGGAAAGACTCTGGAAGTGCAAGGCAAGAATCCTGGTGCCACTGAAGCCTCACCTGATCAGGCGCAGGAAAGTTCAGCTGCCCGCCGCAATAGCCTCAATCAGTCTCCTGGGAAGAGATTGTTTGTTCCGAAGTTTGAGATCTTCCAAGTCGTTGAGTTTTCCCTTTCTCCTGCGTCTCCTTCACCTCTCGTCCCTCTATCTTCGGACCATCACTTCAACTAGCTATCACCATCTGCGCATCATAGCTGCTCGAGAATTGTTACAGCCTGAGATTGATAGCGATAGCGATAATCAATTTATGGTTTGGAAGAAGTTTTTACGGGCAGCTTGACATCAAAAAAATTTTGCATCGTCAAAACGCGCCAATCTTGCAGAGAATAAAGAATTGCCAATCCCTTCCTCGAGATGGAACAGTGCTAACATGTCAACATTTCTTCCACAGATCTCCCCTGATGGTTCGGTTTCAATCATGATCCTCAAAAGCCGGAATTTCTCGAATTGGATGTCACATTTGCCTGACGAAGTAGCGATCTCTGAACTCACGATTCCCGGTTCCCATGTGAGCAAAGACGCGAAACAGAAGTTAGACAAATTCGATAAAAGAAGAACACATCAACTGATTTATATATATATTTATTGATTGATTGATTCGCAACTAATCGCAAACTCGAATCTATCAGCAAAGTTGTGCAATATACGGATGGCCAGTCGCCCGATGTCAAACTAGATCATTAGCTAGACAACTGAAAGATGGGATAAGATTTCTAGACATCAGATTAGCCTTACCGAACAAGAAGAAGGCGAGCCCGAGCCACCCGACGGATGAGACAGGAAAACTGATCGCCTATCATGGAATCCAATCGCAAGCGATCAAATTCCAAGAGATCCTCCGAATCTTGGACGATTTCTTGAGTGCCCAACCAACAGAAACTTTGATCGTCAGCATCAAAAGAGAGAATCACTCGGATGCTGAACTTTTCAAGAAAACCTTGCTCCATGAATTCGTCGATTTTTATCAATCCGAGCAAAGCTTTAAATCCCATTGGTGGTTGAATGCTTTCTTGCCCAATTCCTTGAAACAAGTCCGCGGAAAAATCATCCTTTTCTCACGCAAACTTTTCCATTCTGCCGGTGAAGAAGGTCAGTTTCCTGCTTCAATCCTGCACATCCTCCATCTGATTTAAGGTCATTTACCCCCAATTCTCATCCAACTTTTTTTTATGGTTGGATAGATTTTGGGATCAGATTTCCAGTTTGGCCAAACAACTCGAGCGAAATATGGGAAACGAGCATCCCCAATACGAATGTTGCGGTCCAAGATTGGTGAGTTTTTTTCCTTTCCGCCATTCCGATACAGTGGCTATAATTGCTCGACTGACATTACTTTCCGATGCATTTTTTTTTTTGCGATTTAGGTATGACATTGGATCGTGTTTATCGATTTCGAAAAAATCGACTTTGGCATGTGTTTCGTTATGTGGCGCGCTTCATGAGCCTTTACGAAGCACTTCATCGCCGGTGCCGCTAGCGCAGCCGATGAGTTGCGATCCGTCTGCCTCCAGAAACACGGCAGTCCCGTCGGAAGAAGGAGAGGGAAGGGAGGGCGCTGCTCAAGACACTGAAACGTCGAACGAAAATCCCAGAACTTGGGTGATCACCTTTCTTTCGGCCTCCTCACTCCTCCTAGGATTTCCAGCAATATGTTCCAGAGGAATCGGGTTGCCCAAAGTCGGTCTAGGGATCGAAGGAATCAACTCTCGAGTCGCCCGATGGCTGGTTTCTCGCAGAGACCAATCCCACCATCCCGGTCCAAATCTTGATCCCTCTAGTAGTAGTAACATCAAAGGCGTCGTTTGTCTCATGGACTTCTATCAATCCCCCAAGGAAGCTTTGGTTTCTTTACTTGTAGACTGTAACTTTACCTCCTAAGAACATCCCTACCTGTCAATTATTCAGCTCCAAACTTCCCAGAAAACTTCCCAGAAGACAACTTGTAACTAGAACTTTTCATTTCTTCCGTGTCCAGTAGAAACGCCCCCAGCTACCAACCATTTTATTTTCACATTCCTTCACAAGATTTTTTTTTTCTTCTTCTTTCTCTTGCCTTTTATGTCGCCAATTTTTGTTCTTTTTATTTGGGTTATGAGGTTTCATTACATGGCCATACTACTTGGCGCTCTTGTAGATTTGTTTCTTTTCCATTTTGCTACTAGATTCAAAAAGTTCTCTTTCTTGCTCAGTGGGGGGGGGCATTTCTCTTGATTGATCCAAGCCTTTTCTTACATACTCTAGATATCCCTACCATTAACTAATACTAATACGTTCATTAAGAACAACAAACAAACATAATCCAATCCATCGTCATGCTTTCTCATAAATTTCTCACATCGTCCAGCCAAGTGATTATCTCCTGCAAACAGACTGAAAGATGTCCGACCTTATCAGGCCTAAAACTATTGCTTAGTCCTGACTCATGGGGCCCCCAATGCCCGCCCCGCGGAGCATTCCGTTGTCTGAAGACTGAGACGCAAATCCTCAGCTGCCATGTGTTCTAAACTTAATGCCCGGGAGTCTACGTAAACATGACCTCGCATTGCCAAGGGAATGAGTATGTAATGTTAACTGACTCGAAATTATCACTTTCAGTCCCTCTGAAACCTTTCTGTCCCGGCGCAAAAACAATCGAGGAAAGAAGAGACCCTTGACAAGGTCCAAAAGATCAGGACCTGGAACTGGGGTTTGAACCCAGGTTACCAGGAAATGCGCATCCGAGGCAAGCCGCGAAGGAGGTCAGAACCTGGTGTCCTAACCACTAGACGATTCCAGGCATGTCGGTCTCGACCGATTGTCCCCCTATGATTGCGCCCCACAAAAAGAAGGCCCACCCCAAGAAATCCAACTCCATGATATTTATGTTTTTTTACTGGACAAAACGAACACACAAGGAAACAAAAAACAAAAAAGGATGAGAAAAAAAAAGAGAGAGAGAGAGAGAGAAAACAAATCCAGGCCGATATGAAGATTGAACAAGAGAGAAAGAAAGTAGACTCTCAGAACACACACAAAAAAAAATCAACCAAAAAACAAAAGAAGCAAAGAGATCAAAAGAAAAGAGAGCGAAAAAAAAGAAGAGAGAGAGACATGATGTCAAGAAAAAGAGACAAAGAAAAAAAAAGGGGGGGGGAAATCAACCACACCACTTTCGACAATCGTCGAACATTTTAAACCAAGCAAAGATAGGATTAAGCGGATCAAGACTAAGATTATCCTTAGAGACCTTAAAGCAGCGGACGGATTCGAGGGAGATATTGCGTTCGGGATGGGGCATCAAGGCCAGGATCCTGCCGTTGCCGGCATGGAAGCCTGTGATTCCGTTGAGCGAGCCATTCGGATTATGGGGGTAATTTTCAGTCGCTTGGAGGTTGGTCCGATCGATGTATTGAAGCGCTGGAAGGAATTGCTCTTCTTGTTGTTGTTGTTGATGATGATGATGATGATGGGTGAAGTCGATCCTGCCTTCTCCATGGGAAACGGCGATCGGCAAGCGGGAGCCTTGAAGCGACCTGAGGAAGACCGATCTTTGATTGATCTCATTCGAGGGGACATGGACCATCGAGATCCGGGCTTCGAAGCGTTGACTCTTGTTCTTCTTCATCTTCGGCCAGCTTTGGCCGATCGAAACCGGCTGGTTATTGATCCTGTTCTCCGGCAAGATCTCGGCGAGATTGGTGAGCATCTGGCAGCCGTTACAGACCCCCAACATGAAGCTATCGGGCCGTTTGAAGAAGCTCTCGAACTTCGTCTTGGTTTCTTCATGCAGCAAGATCGACTTGGACCATCCATTTCCAGAACCCAGCACATCCCCATAACTGAAGCCACCCACCGCGACCATCCCTCTGAATTGATCCAACGAGATCTCATCATTGATGATGTCCGTCATGTGGACATCGATTGCATTGAAGCCAGCTTGAGTGAACGCAAAGGCCATTTCGAGGTGTCCGTTGACACCTTGGTCACGAAGGATTGCGACCTTGGGTCGATCGTTCAGTGGACTTTTCGAAATTTCAAACTCGAGCGGACACTTGACATCATAAATCATCCCTTGGTCAGCATTCGATTTGATCAGTTCGAATTCCTCCTTCGCACAATCAGGATCATCCCTGATAGCCTGAAGACGATAAGATGTTTCACTCCAGGTTGACTGAAGCTCAGATCGGGTCGAACTCCATAATGTTGATCCAAGCTGAGTGATTGAAACGGTCTGATCTTCGCCTATCTTAGACACGCTAGATACCGTCCCAATGACTTGAATGCACGAAGCCGGGAGACCGAATCGGGCAAAAGTCTCGGTTATCAAAGTCACCTTGGACTCTTCACATTGGATCACCGCACCAGCTTCTTCGTTGAAAAGGAATGATAAGATACCTTCGGGAGTCTGGAATTTTTCCGGAAGCGCCAATTGGAGTCCCAAACGAGCCGCAAAACTCATCTCGACACAGCTGACAAAAAGGCCTCCGTCCGATCGGTCGTGATAGGCCAGAACCGGCTGATCGGGATGACGGTGAAGGGCAACACAACCATCGACAAAACCTTTCAAATGACTACTCCAGTCAATATTCGGTGAATCGTCGCCCAGCTGATTGTGTACTTGGGCAAGAGCTGAGCCACCCATCCTACATTGTCCGTTGGAGATATCGATCAATACCAACACTGACGGCGCAGAACCCGCCTTCAACTCTGGAGTCCAGGTCCTCTCGACAGATGCCACCTCACTAAACGCAGTCACAATGAGTGAGAGTGGTGCCGTGACCTCTTTGGTCTTGCCTTCCTCCTTCCATTTCATTGACATCGACATCGAGTCCTTTCCGACAGGTATACTGATACCCAATTCGGCACATAGCTCCATACCCACGGCCTCGACGGCCTCAAATAGCCGTGCGCCTTCATTTCCATGGTTGGCTGAGCACATCCAGTTGGCGCTGAGCTTGACATGCTCGAGTGAATTGATATCGGCGGCGACCAGATTAGTGAGCGCTTCGGCAACCGCCATCTTGGCCGAGCTAGCCGCCGATATCAAGCTCAATGGTGACCGTTCGCCCATCGCCATGGCTTCGCCCGAAACAAGATCAAAGCCGTAGGAAGTCCTTGTGACTGCCACGTCCGAGACTGGAACCTGATAGGGGCCTACCATTTGATCTCGAGTGACCAAACCGGTAACGGATCTATCCCCGATCGTGATGAGGAAGCTCTTGCTAGCGACTGAAGGCAGTTGCAAGACTCGCGTAGAACAGTGTCCGATCAGGTCTGAAATAGATACCCCCGTCGGATAGTGGGACATCAGATCGATCTTCTTGCGTTCAGCGCGAGTAGTGGCCGAAACTCGATCTACTTTGGGGGGTTTTCCAAACAAAGTGTCCATGGTGAGGTGAACAGGAGTGTTGCTGAACAGGCGGTCGGTGACGATCAATTCCTGTGAGTCTGTCGTGACTCCAACGACCGAATACGGACACCGCTCTCGTGTGGCGATTGCTTCAAACCTGGCGAGAGCTTCATCCGTAGGTGACAAGCCAATCACGTAGCGCTCTTGACTTTCGTTGCACCAGATTTCCATCGGGCTCATCGTTTCATCATCGATCTTGATGTCCCGGAGTTCAAATCGGCCACCCAGTCCACTGTCGTGCACAAGTTCGGGAAGAGCATTGCTCAAACCGCCGGCACCGACATCGTGAATGCTATCAATCGGATTGTCGTCTTCATCCAAATTGACACATGCATCGATCACCTCTTGGCATCTCCGCTCAAGTTCGGCGTTTTCACGTTGGACTGAGGCAAAGTCTAGCTCGGCTGAGCTAGCGCCCGATTGAATTGAAGAGGCCGCCCCTCCACCCAAGCCAATCAACATCCCCGGTCCCCCAAGGACGACGATCTTCGAGTTGGGTTTCAATTTCCGTTTGTTGATCATCTGAGGTCTGACATTCCCGACACCGCCAGCAATCATAATTGGTTTGTGAAAACCACGGATTTCCTCAGAGTTAGGGCCTGTGAGGGCTGGAACACGTTGGGTGAATGTGCGGAAATAACCACAGAGAGCAGGCCGTCCAAACTCGTTGTTGTAAGCACTCGAGCCTAATGGGGCTTGGAGGATGATATCCAAACTACTTGCGATGTGTGCCGGTTTACCGAAATTTTCAACTTCCCACGGCTGAGAGAAACCAGGTATGTGCAGATTGGAGAGTGAAAAACCGGCAAGCGCAGCCTTTGGCTTCGAGCCACGCCCCACAGCACCTTCATCACGAATCTCTCCCCCAGAGCCAGTAGCAGCTCCCTCGTATGGAGATACGGCGGTTGGATGATTGTGAGTTTCTACCTTGATGACATAAGGCATCGGTTCTGTTTGGCTGGAGTAAGATTTTCCGCTGAGAACGTCGGAGGCTTTGTTGGGATATAGGCCAAATCGCGGGACGGTAGGACCTTCAACTACTGCAGCATTGTCGTGATAAGCAGACAATGTGTACTTTGGTTGCTTGGCATGAGTGTTACGGATCATACTGAACAAGGTGCGATCGCGAGCAAGCCCATCGAGAGTCCAGTTTGCATTGAAGATTTTGTGTCGGCAATGTTCAGAATTCACTTGGGCAAACATAAACAACTCTACATCGGTTGGATTTCGTCGGTGAGAAGCATCTGAGCCGGTAGTAAATGCATTGGCAAGATAATTGATTTCATCGGGTGCCAGGGCAAGTCCAAACTCTTGATTGGCAGATTGAAGCCGAGTACAAGCAAACTGGAGGGCGTCACTTGATGATTGATCTGGATCATCGGGGAAGATATTGATGGTCCTCAACGTTTTTCTGGAACCGACGGTTTTTGGGGTTGGTACAGCGTCCTCGGATGATAGAAGAGACGACGAGCACACTTGAGTCATTCTGTCATGAACAAGATGACCGATTGACTCCAGCCAAGCTTGATCGAAAACCTTGACTTGGCCACTGACAGTTTCAAGAAGATGTAAACCGATCCGCTCGACCCGATCCACATGGTTGGAAAGCTGACAGATTCGGGCAATATCGGTAGCTTTGGACGACCAGGGCGGGATTGTGCCAGGCCTCGAGCGGACGACGAAGGCATTTGACAGGGATGAACCAAGGGGGAGGGTCAAGATTTGGCCGATTCGCTGGCGAGATTGGTCAGATAGGAGATCGGTTCCATAGTCTAATAAGCTGGCCAGAATTTGAGCGAATCGGCTAGTAGGGTCTTTCAGCAGAATGGAAGATTCCTCAGATCGGGGATGGATGATGTGAATCCATGCGGAGTCAATTGCGCGGATATCTGGATCAATAGATTGAATTGATTTCAGGAGTGCCGACTGTTGATTCTCGGAAGAGACAGAAGGGCCTGGATATAACAAAAGCTGATGGTTGGAATAAGGCATTGGTTAGGGCGTGATTCATGCTTGACAATGAGCCATATGGGTCAAATAACATACCATTTGTGAGATGAATGCAGGGAGAAATGGGGTATATCCAGAACAATTGACTCCGTGATCTAGAGGATGCTGATGTGTGTTTTCACAAAGGTATACTGCAGAAAGGAATTCCAGTCAAAAAAAGAATCCGAATATTTTTGTTTTTAGAAAAACTTACGAGAGACTTGGCCCGACAGTTAAGATTGGTTTTTTTTTCAAAGATTGAAAAGATAAGCCCTGAAGATGATCTCCTATGAACGAAAAAAGTGGCCAGAGTAAGGTGTGTGTCCAAAGTTTCACGATCTTGAATTTCTTTTCCTTGCTTACTTCTTTGTTTTTCTTGAGACCTGTACGAGGCAAGGAACAGCCAAAGTCAGATTGTGCATGCAGAAAGCGAGGAGATAATAAACAAAAAGGTCAAGACGAACTGATGATTTCTTCCCGGATGAGTCAAGAAACGACCTGAACACCAAGATTTATTTCGTCCGACTTGGGTATATTTTTTCTTTCCGGTTGGGATCGGATAGGAGCTCTGGATTATTACGTATATCCCGAAGGAATCAGTTAGCAGAACTCGACCAAAAGCCAGAGATAACCACACTAACCTGCCGACAATTGATTTTTTTTGCTTGCCCGTTGAAGTTCCGCTTGAGACCGGGGTGGCTAAATCGCGATAAGCATCAAAAAGAGGCATCCGACCGGGCGGAAATGGATACAGTAACATTGCATGACCCTGCGGCGCAGCAATCAGGTTCGATTTAGCCCCCTTCGAATCCAAGGACAGGCAACATCAGACTATCAGTCATCACATGAGCCAGAATGCTTCCAAAACTCAACCTTTTCTCTTCAATTCATGGACTCATCGGCAGAAGGAAGAAAGATCATTGAAGACGGCCCAGGTCAGTTGATCCTCAACTTCGACGACAACAAGATAACTCAGATACTCAATAGGACTGATCAAACTGATGTGGCAGTTCTGATAGACACAACACAGCAGATTTTACAAAACAAAAGACAGGTCGAAAAAACGGTTTCTTGATCAAACACACACACACAAAAAAATGAGGTAGAAAAAAAAACTAATAGCAGCAGCAGCAGATTTTTTTTTTCTTTCTTTCTTGATTTGATTTCATCAAAGTACAATGTGAGCATATAACAGTAACAGAATTGAAATTTCAAGCCAAGGAGCCTAAGTAAGGAACCGGGCAAGCAACAGTTGAGCTTATCTGTTTTTCAAAAAAAAAGAAAGAAATTAAGACTTGTATATATATATGTAAACAACAACTTTGTATTTCTGATTTGATTTAGTTGCCTCCGATCAATCATCCACTGTGTTAAACTTGAACTAGTGAAAACTCGACCCACACTTCACATTAGTCTGGGCATACTGACACCAAAACAAAACCAACACAAAAAACAAACAATGGACCCTGACTAGGATATAGATGCAACCTTTGTATATATATTCATTCAGAGCACTGTGGTTATAATGAGTCTTCCAAATGCTGTAAAAAAGTTGAAACATTGTATCAGCAGTCTTCTCCTTTTTTTTTGCTCTTACATCAGAACAATAGTTGGAAATGAAGATCAGCAGAAGACGGACCTTGTAATCAAATTGGAATGGTGTCTTAGTCCGCATCAACCAATCAGCCTCTACAAACATGAAAGTCCCACCAAAAAACAAAAAAAAACAATCAAGACCATGAATGATTTTGCAGTGAAAATAACAATGACCAAAGTGGACTGACCCCAGTCGAAATATGTGTAAGAACCCTTCTCGTAATCATCTGCCATTTCTTCTGGGTTCTTGGCTCGTTGAAACCAGGTGAGATAATACTTGTGAAACCTCCACGCGCGTTTCTTCAATTCCTTTGCAGCCAAGTATCTATAGAGTGATGCAAAAGTGAAAGTTCACATTCAATGAAATGGTTTTGGGTGTGGATAGAAAAGGCTTCAACTTTCGAGTTGAGAGGCTCTTGATTCAGTGGAGATTAAAACTCAACTGTAAATAACCGCCTTGGTGATAATAGAACAGATAGAAGAGCACTTCGACTTCGATCTCCGACCAGATAGCTGGACGTTTTTCGAATGCCATGGGTTGCTGAGGATAATGTGAGCTAGTAGGGTACGGATTACGAGGGGCGTAGTAGTACGGTTTCTCGGCATCTTGGATTTGAGGCAAGCCCGAGATTCCCGTCTCGATCACTTTTTGCATCTCGGCCATGCTGGGTGTATGAGCCTTCAAGTGTTCATAAGTTTCAACCAAATCGGCGAGCGAGGAGACACTCTTGTTCTCTTGCGATGGGTTGCTCGTCTGTCCTCCCTCTACTTCACGACCGTTGTTGTTGACTTGTAGACTGGCGCGCTTGCCATCCTCCAGCTTTTCTTCTCCTGTCATAATCTCCGATCCTCGTCGGTCACTAGCCTGGCTAGTCGACCCAGTGGGCTTGATTTCACCGCTATTAGGAACACTCTCCATTGCGCCTCCATCTGCTTGAGGTGGAGATTGGCGTGATTTTTGTGAGTTCGAGGGACTCGGCGAGCGGTCTGTGATTGGGTGAGGAGAAGGTTCAGCGGCAGATTGGCTTGATTGACCTGATTGAGTCGATTGTCCGGATGGGTTGTGGACGAGCGACGAACTGCTACCCCCATCGGCTGATTGGGAAATTAGATCTTGAGACGTGCTCGAAGGATCCGAACCAGATAGCATCGGTCGAGAAACACCGGATCCAGGGAGAGCGGCGACCTTGGTGTCTGGAGAAGCAACGGCGGCGAAAGGTCGGTGTGGAATTTGCTGAGGTTGCTTCTTGGGGGATTCGGCTGATGGCTGGGCTGGCAAAGATCCAGGAGTGGTGCCGCTTAACGAAAGTGAATTCGAACGTTGAGGGACGGCGGGTACCGGCCCTGGACTCTTGGCACTGGACGGGACACTTGGAGTGGTTGTCACGTTAGATGAAGCAGCAGCCGCTGCAGCACTTGCATAACGCAACGATGGGAGTGGTGCAGGCGTAGTCCGGGGTGCAGATCCAGTAGGCAGCACCATCCCAGTGACAACGCCAGTTCTTCCAGAAACAATTGCTGGTCGTACTGTCCCTGATTCCATCGTCGGCTTCCGAACGCTGGGCCCTCGCAGAATTTGAGCGCCCGAAATCGACATTTTTTCTTTAACAGGACTCTTTTCACCTGTATAAGATCGAAATCAAAATAAAATTTTGGGTGTCTGAAGACTCTGTCAATTTTAGGCAACTGACCAGAAAGATTGCTGTCTTCGATTATCGAACTTGTATCGTGTGATGACAACAGATCATCATGTAGGCCATAGTGTTCCTCCTCTTCTTGAAGATTGAGCGATTCATAAAGGTCGTCATCCTCGGTGAAGTCCTCCTCCTGTGATCGATTATGTGATAGTATGAAATTTGCGGATTGAGTACTGGATCAGGAGATGCTGGGAGATCCGACCAGGGAGAAGCTGGCTTCGAGAAAACAAAGATGAGTCAAGACGTACAACATTCGATTCAACGTAGTATTGAATGTCATCCTTGACTTCGCCGACGCGCTCTGGCGAAATCTGACCGTTTTCAAGAAGTCGCATGATTAGCTCTAGTTTTCCGATGTGCCACCTTCGACGGTCATTGAGAGCTTCAAGTTCACTTGATCTGCCATCAGAGCCGGAAGTAGGTTTCTTCTTCTTGGTCTGACTACGTAACAGTTCTACTTCTGCCTCCGTCCGCTCTATCTGTTGACCCAGTTCATCCACCATCTACAGGCGAAGGCGAACGGAGAAGCGAGGTGGAGTCAATATGTGAAACTGCAGAGGTTGGGCAAAACTGAGACTCAACTGTGGAGACCCAATGGCTCATCTCCATCTTGGCCACCTCCTTAGGATCCAGCTTCTGTTGAGCACTGAGACCTTCTTTACTAAAGGCTTTCGTTTTCATCTCCTTTTCGCAAGCCTTGAACCGTTCCATTTGCTGCCAAACCAAAAGAAAAAGCAAAAAAGTAAGTAAATCAAAAACAGCCAGGGAAGATTTTCGAAGTAGCTCTTTTTTTTTTAAAAGAAAGGAAACGACGACACAATGTGAGAGACCACAACGGGTGAAGATTTCAGGAAGATGATTATTTCATGTTTCTGGTTCATAGTTGACCGAAATAAGATGGCTAGAGAGGGGAGTGGGTAAAGAAAGGTGATTAAGTAGAGATGAATGTAGTTGATCGATGGGGTTGTATCGACTGATCAGCTCGCAAAGTCAAGTTTGAAGTCCATTCGATTGTATGTATAGGTCCAGCCAACAAAACGACAAGAGTCGAAAAGAAGAAGAAACCCTAAGAGGGGAATCGATCGTCGATGTAGATCAGATGATTGTTACTCAACTGTTTCGATCAACTTGCGATGTTCCATGAGAGCCGATTTATCCTTGATATCGTTACTCTGTAGCCAGGTCTTGATCTGGTCCCTCTGACGCTGCAGTTTCTTGATAGATGTTTTGAGATCGGCCTCAGCCTTGTCCTTGGATGTCTGATTGGTAGCATGAGTCATTTTATCGAATGTCTCCTCAAACAGGGTGACACCCTGCTGAACCAGTTTCAGAACACGGTCGATGTCGGCCTGAAATTGAGAGCCCGGAGGCTTGAGTCAGTAGGTTTCTCGTCTCTACTGTCGATCGAGGGAAAAGGGAAAGAGTTAGTAGTGCCAACCTGAAGCTTCCGCTGGGCCATCCTGATTGATTATATTGTCTATGATTCGAAGAGGTAGTTTGTTTCGTTTGACTTTGATGGGGGTTGTTGTTGTTGTTGTTGTTGTTGCTGGTGGGTGTTGGCTGGTGGTGGTGGTAGTCTTGGTTGGTTGAGGAAGTCAGCGCCACTCGGTTTCTACCAGCTGACGATGTATAAGTCCATACTCACTTTAATCTGGCCATAACTTAACCCGGCAGGAATATGACGAGAGCTATGGCTTACTAGGGGGGGGAGATGGAGTTTTGGACACACCCATAGCGGACACAGTTTCCAATCAGAGGTATCCCAACCCCTTCCAAGTTCCAACTCAAGGGTGGATGGATGCCAAAATGTAAAGGCTATCATCCGACTTACTTCTTCACTTGGCGGCATTTCATCCAAATATCAAATATTTACCATGGTGTCCGATTTTGATCCCGAACTAATGAGTTCCTTAGCTTTATTAAGCAGCCATGGCAGCTTGTATGGTCCGAGTCTCATTGCGATGTGTCCACCGTCCGCCGTCCATCGAACCGTCTGAATCAAATTTATTCAGGATTTCGAGCTCGATTCCTCGTTGTCTTAGTCCTCCATTCTCATGCAACCAACCAGGATGATTTCCGGACCAACCAGCGTAAACTAACAACACCAAGAGAAGGCCACACGGATTGCTTTTAATGACTCGCCGGTGGACGTGAGAATTTGATGGATCAATTCTAGAAATGGGTGTTGCCAGGACATTTGTTTGCCAGCGGCCAATATTATATCTCACTGTTGCTTGCAGTCTTTTAAGAGAGTGCATTCCCTGTTTCCTCGGTACATATCAGACATACAACCAGAAAAAAACAACTTGGAAAAGAATTGCTCAAAAGCAAATATAATATCTTGCGGAAAGTAAAGTGAAGCATTTCTTCTTGGTCGGTGCAAAGACTTTTTTTGTGTTTTCTAATCAAGCAAGCCGCCATCTCAAGCATTGCTGGCAGAGATAGACGCCAAAGAACCACCACCTCACTTGTTATACCCGTCCTCCGCCCAATCGACACACACACACACACCCAAACCCCGTCCCAAAAACAGAAATCCTTCTTTAGAGTCGAGCTGCGACTGACACAAGACCCGATGAGTTCGCCACCATTAAGGATCATCGACTCGGAGCCCGGAAGAGCCGGCGAGCCGGGGAGCGCCATCAGATGTGGCGAGACCGGCCAGGATCCGATGGCCTCCTTAGACGCCGTCGCCAGCGCGGTGGCAGATGCAAGGAGGGCACTCCAAGAGCTCCATCATGAGACCTCCACCCTCCAACTCATCTCCGCCCAGCTCCATCGACATGCCCTCCTGCTCCGTCTCATCCACAACGCCATGGCTCTCAGCCTACAGCCAGCACTAGAACCTCCCCATCCCTCTCGCCAGAGCACTCTTCAACGACTCGATCTGCTCGACTCTTCGGGCAATCCCATTCATACTCTCGCCTCCGTCGAGGCCTTCAAATCAAATCCTGAGCATAATCAGCAGATCCCTCATTGCTTGATCTGTCTCGAAGACTACATCCTTGATTCTCCGATCGTCGTCTTGCCCTGCCATCATTCACACAACTTCCATCTCACTTGTTTAACTGTCAGTCCGGCCTTCATTCTCGATCAATCTGTTACACATGATTCTTCCGGACCCGTCTGACTGTACTTTCTTTCCAGCATTGGGCCCGTTATTGCCAGCAGCTCCTTTGCCCCTTGTGTCGTTCTCCGTATGAACAAGAACGCTCGAGCGATGATGACCTCCCGGAAACCTGAGGGGAAGAGAGATTAGGTGAAGCCCATTCCAGTTACATTTTTTTTCTTCTTCGTTTTCCTCTTTCTTAGGTGTATGTATCACTTCAAAACCCTTCAGCATCTTGCGCCCCTCATAAACCCTTCTGTGATCCTTCTTCCGACAGTCCAAACAGATTTTTGGCTCTAGCTCTATTCTCCTTTTTTTGTGCACACAATATCTTGTGGATACTTGGCTCACCAGGTTAGAAACCTGAGTTCTTGTTTTTTTTTTCTATCTAGAGATTGCCGGGAACACTCCACCTTGTCAGAGAAATTAGGTGAAGCTCAATCTAGTAACATACAGCTCCTTCTTATTTCCGATCCTTTTTTCTTGTCTGTAAAAATTTGTATCACTTGCAAACCCTTCAACATCTTGTGACCCTCACCAGACTTTTTGTGATCCTTTTGACAGCCAAAAACAGATTTTTGGCTCTATATTAATTATATATTTTTTTCCATCATACAAATGCTGGGGTGACTTTATGTACTCACCAGGCTAGAAAGTCCATTGAATGATACTAGGCACTTTATGAGCTTAGAGGAGATACATACATTCCTGCGATTTGAGAGATTCACTTTGAAAAGGTGCGTCGGGAACACTAAGAAACATGATAGCTCATTCAAAGAATACTATCCTGTAGCCACGAGCCCCTTGAATGGACGGTATGAACTGCGACGGCGACACATGCGACATTGCCGGCCTGCCAGCGGCGACGGGCTAGGCGTGCTTGCCATGACCGTCAGATGCCGAGGGATCCAGGCGAAGGTCTTGCGCTAAGCTGGGCACGAAGCGGGGCTTTTTTTTGGGCCCTTCGCTAAGCCCAAAAACAAATCGATAATTAAATACCATCCAATCACAATACGACGATTCCTGCCCTTGGCCCCACAAGATTTCGGGTTGCTCTCAAGCCGCAACGCCGGGGACTCGATGTGCACCGTCGGTGCTTCGAAGCTTATGTACATAGGCCCAACACGATAACATGTGGTTTGATTCTTATGGATTTTAAAGTTTGAAAAGCCGCGAGCCGATTGAGTTGAGAGTCAATTCAAGAGAAGAGCTGGACCCAAGAGTGGCTCCAACTTGAACTACCTCGGGTTTCGGGAAACTTATTTAAAAGAAGTCGATAGCAAGCTTGTCCGAGTATAGCAGCTTTCAGGACCGAGTTGATGGGCGACCCATCCGGCTGACCTTGTTCATTACAACAACGACCATTCGAAAACTAGAAAAACCAACGCCACCGACTGATCGGGCACAGCAGTTCGGAAAGTCGATTGGACGGGGCTGTCCGCCCGGTCGTACGCATGTCTTCTTGGCGCAGAATCTGTCGGACAGCTCCTGACCGGCAACCAGCCCGACCAATGCGCTCGATCTGCTGGCGATGCCAAGAACAAAAAAAAAAACAAGAATTATTGGACAGATTAATCGATCACTTGATCAGATGTAAAACATTGGCGACCATATTTCCTTGGGATTACCTTGTTGTGGTATTTGAATCTGGCGCTCGGTAGATCTTTCCCCCAGACCGTTTCCGGACTCGTAGACTGCAAGCCTGAGACCGATTCTCCTCCACACAGAGATTCGGGCACCAACGAAGGTTTGAGGATTGAACGGTTCTGTTTTTTTTTTTTTCAAAGTCCCGCTCCCTCGGCAAGCCGTGTCCTGATGATACTGCTCTCATAAATACATGTTGGCCTTTTAGTGAAGGCTTCAGAAGGTTGGAATCACCAACTGGAGTACAGTGCGCTTACTTGACTGCTACTACTAGGATAGATCAATGGTCGCGTCTAAAGAGAAATAGCGCGATCGGTTTGGGGGTCGCAAGGCCGGGCCCGGTGCGCAAGAGATTAAGCGAACAAGTCGAAGCATTTGAAGTTCTTTTGGAAACTTGGGTTATATGCGAACTGACGCCTCCGATTATTTTCCACTTTCTTCGGCCTCAAAAGACTTTCAGGTGATTCTCTAAACTGATCACTCAATGCATCCGGTTTTGCGGTAAATAGTTGGACGGCTACAATCATAGGTCGTGATCGGTCCCGCGCTGAGAGAGGAACATTCCATTCCGGCGATTAGGATCTTCGGGATTGATAGATCCATTCTTTGGCAAATGGATCTACAAAAACAAAGAGGTTCAAGAAAAAAACACGCTTGCCATTTATAAATCCCTTCAGTCGTACTCAGTCACCAGGAGTCGAAGTGTCGCTCAAGCATTCCACTAGGCTATATATATCTTTTATTTGATTTGATACTTGATTTTATATGATTATTATTATTCGAGATATGTTGCAGTTTCTTTCAGCATCAGCTGATTCAATGCTGGACGAGGAGATGGAACTTGGCCATCGTCTCGATGCCATCGCAATCGGCACCACCACGGTCAGGCTACCTTCCCGTACTTGAAAAAGCTCCACTGTGACCCTATAACTAATCTTTTTCGCGAGTCCGATTCAGTGTCTAGCAACCTGCATGACAGGATTCATCACGCTCAAATTCCTCCACTTTCTATCTATTTCGGATTCCAAGGATCAACGATTCGCTCGGTGTGTTGGCTCGGCAGCCTTGATCATGCATATGGCACAGTTGATCGCACAATTGGAGGTATCATAAACCTTCTTGTCATGATGAGTGAATGTGGTCACTTATTTTATTTTATTACTCCACAGAACACATGGCTTGCTATGACACGCTTTGCTACATCTACGCCGTTCAACGTATTTTTATACGAAGGAATCGAGACACTTTTCACGCTATTTATTGTTATCTCCGTACAGTGTGTAGCCCTTTTTCCTGACTTCCTTGCGGGATGAAAGACGCAGATACATACTGATTACAAAAACAACAATAATAATAACGCTCAAGGATGCATTTCTCGCGCATCGCACGCGCCTTCGTGAACAACAAGCGAAGATGGAATCTCTTCTCGGCGGCTTCATGTTCATTGACGTGTATAGCTGGCCTTGCGACTTCAGCGATCATCCTCTCGGACTTATCACATGGACGGCTGCAAAGAAACACTCCTCCAAAGCTCTCAGTCCAGCTGACCGTATGCTGGGCGGTGTGGTTAAGCTCGGCAACTGCCTTCGATATCACCGTATTATCAGTCTTAACAAAACACATCCTCAAACATCGTGCTGGGACCGTTCAGATCTCCTTCAAAAGTCTTTTGAGTCGTATCTTGCTAGTCGCAGTATAGTAAGCACCCATCAATAATTTTCCTGATACCCTCTGACTTGCAAGGAAGCTGACTCCTCAACTGAAATATTTAAGTGCCTTCTTGATGTCATCCTTAACGTCCATCGTCGCTGTTGTTCTCATCGTCGGTAGGCTACCTGAGCATTTACGCCATCTTGACATCTCACCTTGCTGCTCAAGATTGACTGTTCCTCTCCACAGTTTCTACAATATCATCTCCTGAGAACTATATACTGTTAAGCCGACTCCGCATAGCAGCTTTTGTTTCAAATTCATTTTTGCCTCGGATATACCTCATGGCATTTTGTGAGTGAAAATGTTCCAGGGAGAGGAAAGTAGCAAGATAGGGAAGATGAACTGACGGTTTGACTCCCTCTCAGGCTCATCTCTTGTCGGCAAACGTATAACCTTGGATTCAAAATCCACGCGCTATTCAATGTCTGGATCATCGTCGAATTTGGCATAGTCACCCAGCGATATCACTATTTCATCACGTTCTCAGACGAGGATTGTGATGTCCCGCGGGATAATTTATACCTCTCCACATCTCGGCCACTGAGGTGTGACTGGCAAACTTATCAATAAAATAGCAATGAAACACTCGCTCGTAGGTTCTAGTCTACGCGAGCATGAAAGTCCAAGAAAAAGTTCTCGAATAAGTGAATCATAGGTGTTAGTCCAGGACAGGGTAGTTCCCAGATCCAATTGGTGCGTAAGTTTTTGTGATCTTTGCACTGGCGTTCATTACTTCATCATGGTTCTTCTTTTCTCTACTCACGTTTAATGGCAGTATATTCAGTGACTGAATCTCTCAACTTTGGACGTGGTTTTCATCATACAATCCCTAGTAGTAGTAGTAATCATAGTAGTAGTCTGTGTATCTACTTGTAAATATTTTCCCATTTTACAATTTGCGAGTTTTTTGTAACAGTGAGACTTGAGTTCTAAATAAACCAAGGTGCTTTTGCTATAACATGATGAAAGTAACATTTTTAACCAATAAGGAAACACAGCCAGTCTCACATTCAAGTTGAACAAGTATTTCTGAATGAGATTCATGGTTGTCCGATCTGTGTAAGCCTCAAGAGTACATCCTACTCCTAGTACATCACAGCTACTGTGTATGCATACATTACCAAACACAATGAATTTTCTAGCAAAATGGACCTGCCACAATTGATAATCAACCAATAATGCCCACCTCATGTTTGAATGGACATCATTTTATTCAAAGGAGTTCAACGTTGACGAGAACTGCTCATGATTTTGTGTCTTTCCCATGTCTCAAGTTTCCTGTCCTTGTTTTTTTTTCTAAAATTAAATATATAAAACATCTGTACTGTCAACTAGGCAACCAACTCTAATTGACATCTGTTGCGATCATCATGGAAGCTCCCTTGCTGCACTTTGAGTGACATGCTTTGAGATTGAATACACGCATCAGCCTGGCATCAGAGGAATGAAATGCTGACATTCATTTGATGGGCTGCTTGTTACTGCGGTGCCTTACGGGAGTCTGCTTGTAGACTTGCTCCAGCTGCCTCATACATACAAAAGCTTGGGTTGAATAAGGTTGTTTCTATACATTTCTCACCATACAAAAATAGAGGAAAAGTCAGCTTATCACAGGAAGATGATGGGAAGAGCAAGTCAAAAAACTTTCAAAAGATAATCAAAGAGGAAAAGAGGATGCTTTGTGCTACAAGTTTTGGTGTGTCATGTTAAAACATACAACGAGGTTGATACAAGATGAAGATACAGAAAAGACCATCCAAAGGATGTTGAAGTTTCCTCCAAAGAAGGCTGAGCTATTCGGACGGTTTGAAATCCAACTTGACTTGTTTAGAGCCATCTGGACTCTTGTGGATGTCCTTATCAGGTTTACGTTTCGAGCCTGATCCTGCAGGCTTCTTAGCCGCCCCCTTTGACTTGGACGTCTCCTGGGAAGCATTTGCGCGCTTGTTAGTCTTAGAGGGGCTCGTTTTGGGCTTTGCCGGGGAGGAGGAGGAGGTGGTGGTGGTGTCCTGGAGATCGGCCCCATACCGGTTCTTCTCGTATCCTTCCTTCATCTTCTTCAAACAGCTTTCCCGCGCCTCTTTTTCATTTACGATGGGGGCCGGATAGTCTTTCCCTACCACGCAGTTTGCCTTTTTCTGGACGGCTGTCGGCGCTTCCCTGTTGTAGTTTCGTGGGCTGGGTCAGTGAACACATTCCGTCGGAACAGGAGAGGGTGAACCCTCTCCTCCGTCAGAAGGACATAATGAAATTACGACTAACCAAGGCTATTATAACCAACATAAAATTTGGGTCAATATATACATTCAAAGGAAGCGCTCGAAGTATAAGACGGACTGACCTGGTAAATAAATTGCTTTGGAAAATCTTTCAATTCGGGGCAGAAATGCCTAATGAAGTTCCCATTCGGGTCGAACTTTTTCCCGAACTGAATCGGAGAGTAAACCCTGAAGTATTGCTGGAAGTAGGCTGACGCGGAAAGCCACATCCTAAGATAAAAAAGAAAAATAGAGACACAGATAGAATTGATGAGCGGATCAAGATCTGTATGAAGAAAACGGAAGTTCGAATGGATTGATTGTTGATTTTTCTTACCAGTTTCCAGAATTCAAAGACGGGTCCCAATCAATCAGCAAGTCATCAAACACTTCAGCTCCTCTTTCCCATGATATATACAAATGACCCCGAGTGAGGAAACAAGCCACGCTGTGTCTTGCCAAGTGATGACTAAAGGGAGCCCGGGGTTTTTTTTTTAAAAAAAAAAGATGAGTTTGGTTGATACTTTCTGGTAACAGATATACGAGCTCCAAGGAAATGAAGAAACTGACATCCATCCTTCCGTTTTGAGCTGACGCATGATAGCATCAATCCAAGGAAACCCAGTCATTCCGTCAATCCACGCCCTCAAGTTCTTTTGCGCCTCCGGGTCTTGATTATCTTCTGGCCCATCTGCTTCGACGTCTTTACGACGAATCCTATCCTTCAATCTCCAGTCAAAGTATCTACAAACCCGATTGCCTTCGATCTGATGATAATTCTCGATTTGAGATTGTTGCAAATGAAAGAAATCTCGCCAGAGCAGTTGGCCAATTAGTGATTCTGGTGGACTCGACGCTTTGATTTTCGGGTTTTCCTTTTCCAATTGTTTCAGTCGTGCATAAAATAACCTGGAGGATAACGTTCCAAACTTGAAATGTGCGGAGAGAGTCGTTGCTGCGTCACAAGACAAAAACAAACTTGATCAGCTGAATAGAGTATATTTTGTTTAGGAAGGAATGCGGCTAACTGGACGCGGGGTTGAACTCGGCGGGGGAGGTTTTTGGCTTCTCGAATTTCAAGACCTTTTCCTTGTCTTTTAAGTATTCCTCGAGTTTCTGAAGCGCTACGGTCTCGCCACCACGATGGTGGCTTGTCGCCGGCTGAATCCCCAGCTCCTCCATCGTTGGGATCTCGAACTGTCCAGTAGGGCCTGAGAGAGGGTGAGGGGATTGGTAAGCCTTATCTTCAGCAACTCGGTTCTTTTTGTTGACATCTTTCTCAGTAGCCAGTCGGTCGGTCCAGGCCTTCTTCCATTTCTCCAGAAACTCCGGAGGCAGAGGATCGTCTAAAGTTGTAGAACCAGGGTTGGGGAGCGAACCAGGCGCGTCATGCGCAGGTGAAGGTGGTCCTAGCTTCTCGATTGCGCTCAAGAAGCCACGATAACTTGCAGGTAAATTTCCTTTTGCTGCCGCCATGACTTGTTCTTGTGGATATAGGGTATGGCCGGGGGATGTCAGTATTTCAACACCGGCATCCTTTGCAGCCTTGATGATGGATTGATCCCGGGGTTGACTGTGTCGCTTATCGTCGTCTTCTTCAAACGCTAGATGAGTAATCCCCCACTGACGCCAGATATAGGGCAATGTGATCGAGGGTTCACCTCTGATGACAAATAATTTTGAACGGCCATTGATCCGCGAGATCGATTTGGAAAGATCGTTCATCGAATCCCTGTGAACATGGATGCCATTAACAAGCTATCCTAATCAGCTTTGTAAAAACCCGGGGCAATCAAAGAGAAGAAGGTGCTCTGCTCACAATAGGAATTGCCATCTGTTCGGGCCTACTGGTGTATTATAGACGTAATACGGATCCCAACACCAAACAGGATAAAATTCAACCGGTCCAAGCTCCAGAGCTTTCATAAGCGCTGGAGAATCGTGAAGACGCAGATCGGTTCGAAACCTGCTTGATGTCATGAAGCATCCAGGCCACAGTAAGAATCAGACACCGTTCCCATCGCATAGAGAAGGATAAATCGGATAAAGTTCGAGTTGGGGAAACTGACCAATAGAGCAACTTGATCGGCTTGGCGCTCATTCTCCCAACTCTACGTTTTCTGTTCGAAAGCAGCTGGAGAAGCAAGAAGACTCAAAATCTGTGGATGGCGGATTGATGTGAGACGACCTGGACCTTGATCAGAGAACAAGAAGCTCGTACTGGATTGGCCACCCGAATTAAAGTGCGACAGACGCGTTTGGCAGGTTCTGTTTTCACAAGTCCGAGAGTACAACGCGTCAGTGCTCTGCTATGTGATCGACGACTTGCAAGAGGTGGACAGGATCAAGCATCACTCACCTCGATGACCACAGAGAAATTCAACTCGTACGAATATTGGATGTTTGGAGTCGAATCTTAGTGGTTCGAAGAGGTTTCTTTCAATTCTTTGGTGGTGGATCTTGGACCCTGGAGGGTTTCCTAAATCGGCCACGCCCCAATCAGGCAAAGAAACCCACACAGTCGATTCAACAACTCCTTCATCAAGCTTGTCGACAAAAAGAAAACACCATGCTTGATCATAGCCTGACAGTCACCCGATGGGGTCTGACCAAGCTCCCACACCAACGTTACTTGAATACCTCCATTTGCATATTTAAAAAACACCAACACCGGACAACGTCACGGCTCAATCCTGACTGTATTTTGCAGAATGCCAAGAGCCAAGTAGGACAGACTTGTCCTCCTGGTCCAACGGCCGTTTCCTCGAGTCGATCCAGAAATACAGACCAAGCATTCAGGGATCTCTCGGCGGAAAAGCTGCAGAATCGTCAGATCTCATGGAAAGAAGTCATCTAGGGGCCAAGATGCCGTGCCCAACTCACCAGGTGTCTGCGAGTCAGTGTGAAAGACGAACAGGAGGAACTTAGAAGCCAGGACAAAGTGCAGGACTGGCCGCATCGTAACACTGGAAGTTGAACCGTGTTTGAGCTCAACTTTACAGGCCAACTTCCGATCATGTCATTCTGATGAGGAAGAACAACTTGGAAGCAGAGCTTGAGGGAATAGCCAGGACACAAGCAGCTAGACATGGCCATTGCATGCCCGAGCCGTCGGCCTCTCGGAGAAACAAGCCCTAGGCTCCATCTGACCGACTCGCGCTGGTTTCAAGTCTACATCGTGTGCTAAAGTGTCGCAGGGAGGCTTGGGACTTGGTGGATTGTACTTGGCATATCACCGTTCCAGGTCAGCTATGAATGCCATCTGTGCTGCTACCTTCTGATCATAAAGAGGCTGGACCCATCCCCCCAGTTCCCGCCTCATCCTTGACATCGCCATCGCCATCACCCTCATCGTGCTCATCTGTCGGGATTTCAACCAGCAGGCTATTGATCAAACATGTTGTTCAACAAGATCTTGATCGCTTTCCAGCTCTTGCATTACCACAGCCTTTCAGCCCGTCCGCTTTCCCTTGCAAGGCATCTAGTCAAGAGAGAAGCCGGTGGACGGTTCAATTTGCCCATGGTACCATTCCCATTAGATGGTATGTCTTTCTCACTGGATCATTTATTTATGTGACTGGATGGTCGCAATCGATTGAACTTGATTTCCGATTTCGATCACTTAACGCCTCCGATTCTTTAGCTCCCATTGATATCCATCGTCCAAGAATCACAATCACCGAGTTGGATGGTATGTTCATCTTTCACTTTGGAGTCTGTTCCAGGGTAGATAGAGTGGTTGAGTAATGTGAAAGATCCATCACTCTCGTCTTGCAGATTCAGAAGAGGTTGGTCATCAAGCAAGAGGTCAGTGTTGCGCATCTGAAAGAATATTCTTTTTCATGATTGGGTGGGAATGATTGGTGATTTTCGATTTGGATCACTTACATATAATCACTCCAATTCTTCAGCTCCCAATAACATTCAACACCCAAGAATCACAATCACTGAGCCAGAAGGTATGTTAAGCTTCCACTTTGTTATAGTCTCTTTCAGAGTGAATATAGCAGATCACTAATGGAAATTAATCACTCTCTAGATTCAGAGGAGGCTGCTCATCAAGCAGGAGGTTAGTCCCCTGTGCATCTAAGAGAATACTTATGACAAAATGTCAGGGCACCTTTTTGACAAATTGTTTTTAAAAATCCTATTATAATGGTGCATCAGCTGATTCACTTGCCTTGCAAGTCTATAGTGAGTGATAAGACTCTACCTTCATAGAATTGCTTGACAGTCAAAGAAAACTAACTTCAGCTAACGTTTGGAAACTCGTCATAAAACTTGCAACTGACTCACAGATCCTCATGCACCAAGAGTGACGGTTCCAGGTGACATCAAAGATATCCATGGTAAGTACAATTTAACCACTTGAATGTTTTTTCTTTTTCAATAAAGCCACCAAAAAATTGTAAGATGACTCATTTTCAATTTTCTTTTTTGGGGGGGTCTTGGCCATGCAGAGGATTTCAGTGCCAAAATGGAGATAGTCCTGCCCCGGATCAAAGCCAATCATGGGGACAGTGTTTACCAGAAGGTGGAAGAATATTACAGAAGGATCCTCAAGGACAGGTCCACCAGCCCAACCTTCCATCCATTTGAAGAACATCCTCAAAATAGTGCTTCCCTATCTCAAAATGAGATCAAAGCAAATCAACTCAAAAATCTCATGCAGAGAGCTTATATGAAAACATTGAAGGACCATGAAGAAGTTTTGGTTCATTCCTGAGAATCCTTTTGGGGTTCTTTCCAGCAATCTCCATTCTCTTCAATCTTCAAGCCATAAAGCCAATCTTGTTTTTCCTTCTTTTATACATCACATTTCTCCTCACAAATTAATCATCAAATTCAAATTTTTAAACATCATTTGAACATCAATCACACTCCAGAAGACTTTTTCCAATGGTGGCAAAGCTTCAGAATTGTGATTATAGAAGGGATAGGTAGATGGCCACCACCATCCTCTTGATCAGTTTTCACAAGGGTGGAGCAGGCCAAGCATGCATTGGGTGGTCGATATCCAAACGTTCATCATGATAGATCTTTTTTCTTTTCTTTGAGGGCCCTGTTGATCCTTTTGAGTTCCAATTTGTTCTGCTGGGGACGATTACATATGTACCAGAAAAATTCCAACTACATAAATCAAAGAAAGACAACAGAGGAGAAAAATAAGAGTGTATGCAAACCAACTATATAAAAAAAAAGGGAAACTAGCTGGTGAAAAAAAAAAAATGAATTAGAGAAGATTATACAAATTTAGTTGAGTGAGGGCTTGTGATACACCACTGATTAGTATATATGTAAGACATGCAGGAAAAAAAACAAAACGAGTGAAGGAGAGGAATATAGATAGGATTACAAACGAGTTCAATCGACTTATAAGCCGATTTGGACGGCCGTGTAAATATAGCGTACATTGTCTCTTGTGCTTGGATGAAGAGGAAGATTAAAGAAAAACTCAAAGAGGAAAGAAAGAAAAACGATGGACGATTACGAATTGGTGTACTGTAATACACCTTTCATGTTTTTTTCCACAAAAAGAAGCACAACAACAACAAAAAAAGTGTAATCAGCGGAAGTGATTCGAAAGCGCAGGTCGAGAAAAAAAAAGGAAGGAGTGAATGATGAGGAGAGAGAGAGAGGCAAAGGACAAACCGAAGAGGAAATTGATGGCGGATCCAGAAAGAATGGCTAGTTGAGTCCTCCGATCTAGTAGATCGGTCCTGAAGAAAAATATCGGTATGATCGGGAAAAAGAAGCCGATGCAGAGTCCTTTGAAAAGTGTTGAATAGATGTGCGATCCCATCCCTATCATAATAATAAAAAAAGTCACACACCCCGAAGTAAGTAGAGAACACAGGATAGTGAGCACAAACAATGAAGGATGTGGAAGGGTGGGAGGGAGTCTGACCATTATCGACACCATCCTGGGTCGAATTGAGGCCTTCGAGCCATTGCTCTTCCATCGCCCGAGCATGTTCCTCCTCATCGGTATCGACGAAGCCGGAGGGACTATTCAGGAACTCGTGTTCGGCATGGAACTGTCTCCTGACCTGTTCGATATCCTCCTCGGAGAAGCCGGCCTCGGCGAGCCGATCAAAGCCGGAGAGCGGGACTTGCTGATGGTCAGTGGGCTCATTGAGGGCGGCTTGGGCGCATGCTTCCGGGTCCGATTCCGGCGGCTCTAGTACAGCCTCGTTGTTGGTCATCGTCGGTGACATGATCTCGCCTACCGCACATTGTAGCCAGACCACCGTCTCCAGTTGGTGCGTCCCTCCGCCCGGCGTCGGCTCCACCTCTTTCCCCTTCCCTTTACTCTTCACCCCTATCGCCGCATCGTATCCTCCCTTGACCGCCCCCAGGGCCCCACTGACCGCATCTCCTAATACTCTCGTCACCGTCTCGGTCTGCGAAAGTTGCGAGTTTTGTCGCTTCAAAAGTAGTTCTGTCCATGGTACTAATAGTGTTCCGTCCGTTAAGACTCTTCCTAAGTAAATCTGTGTCATTGTTTTTGGATGTGCATTCGATTTTTGTCAGTATTTTGTTGTTTTGGTTGAATTTTCCTCCAACTCTTTTGAGGCGTAATGACTTACCAACCTGAGACGTCTGGAGGCTAGAGAAGGACGTAATAGTTGAATCTAAAAATAAACAGAAAAAAAAAAGAAAATCAGAATACAGTGAAGGAGGAGAAATAACATTTGATTTTGAATGAATGGTTTTTTGAGAGAAAGAGTGGAAAGAGACAAACCCGACGTTTGAATTCTCGGACGCTTTCTCTATCGCCGACCCAGACGTTAAGAAGATCAGGAACGGATCCATCGGAAGCGAATCGGATATTGAAGGTCAAGGGGACATGGTTATCGCTCTCCACGCTGGTGTTAAGGATGTTAGAAGGGGTGTCAAAAGGTTCGACGGCTGGGATGGAATAGGGGATTGTTCGAGTGTCAGTGGAGAAAGCCCCTATGGGTTCGTCCAGTTCTTCTGGTCCGCTTTGATGGCTGCTGTCGGTTGGTGTTGTTGTTGTTGCTGATGTGGTGGTGGTGGTGTGGTGGATGGTTGGGCTGTTGTCATTCTGCGCCAGTTGGTTCATCCTCGTGGTTCATGAAGAGTCGATGGTGATGACTCCCGGCTGCCACTCGCCCTGAACTCAAACCAAAACAACCAAGCAACACTGCCAAACCCCCCCCCTCCTCACACCCCCCACCTCAATACACAACAACCTCATCCACACTCCATCCATACTCCATCAAAATGAAACTAATACTATTCTTGAAGGAAAAAGGCTTACAAATTTTACTTGAGCACCAGTCACAGGATTATGTAGGTTGCAGCATCATGAAGTAAACTTCTCTGATACCAAAAGCAAATTAGGAGCCAACAAATCAGCTCCAGTCAACAATACGAATTTCCAATGTTGCTGATCTTAGATCATCAAATCAGCCAAATCAAAACCTTTGAACTTGGAAACAAAGGCTCTCAACCATCAGGATAAATTTTCTTAGACTTGGGCAATAATAGTAGTACATTTATTTATTTTGGAGGTACATAGTTGTTGATTGAGAATCCCAATCAAGAAATTGAACACATCAACCCCAAATTCTGCCCCAAACCCATATCCAATCAATTCAGAACTGCATAGAACCTGGGAGTCGGGACCCACAATGGAATCTGATCAAACACCTCAAATACTAACAGTAATGGATGGAACAAATCATGTGCAAGTAAAATTTAGGGATATTGAGATCCTAGGAATCATTAATACCACATCCTTGTACTGGATAAAGTGAGGTTGAGATTGCTCTCTCACTCACTTTCATTGTTGGATGAATTGTTTCTCACAACACCTACACTAGAAATGATCTTGTTAGAGGAAATTTAATTGAAATTTCAGGCTAACATGTTAATGGAACTCCATCTGAGAGCCTGAGATTGTGTGTCACTCCTCAACTTAAGATCTGAGGCTCAAAGTGTTGCTGGTACTCTATTTGACAACTTGATCAAGATTGTCTAACCATCCAAAAATGGAATTCAAGACCAGCTACCCAACAATGAACTTGTTGATTAACAATGGCAAGACCTGAAAGAAAAGCCAAGCTGAGAATGAAATAATTGTACATAAGGTTGTTAATATCTATTGATTAAAAATAAATCTTTTATTAATGGGACAACAATTAATTTAGACAGTACAATATTGATGCATATTGTTACAGCACGAAATCCACTGGAGAGTGAATACAATAAACACCTAGATAACCCCTGGAATAAAACTGTTGCCAAAAATTCATAGCAACATAAATAATGTGCAACTTTTGTTCAAAAAAAAAAAAGAGAAGAGGGCAATGAAGGGGTTCAACTTACCTGTAGGGGACAAGACTACAGTACTCATCCCAAGATTTCCCATATTTCTTAGAACACCTTTCAAAATTCCTTGTGCATCGATGTAGAATCATGACAAGAAAGAAAGCTGGTAAGATTTCATGGGAAAGGGAGCCATTATGACATCAATCACATGAATCAGTAGTTAGTGAATGCTCCTCTCTGGATTGGTTTGTATACCTGCTTGATGGGAGAATTCAAACTCAAATTGGATCCTTACCTGGATAAAAGTATGGAATCAAACTTCCAGTTCCAGAGCAGGCTGCCCAACAGAGTGCTTGGATGAAATCTGCGGTATAATTCTTTTTTGATTGAAAAAAAGACACAGGTAAGAGCGGAGTCTGAGAGCTTAATTCCAGGTGGATTCAAGGAGGAATAGACTTACAGGATGACGACATACGGCCCACCAACCATCAATGAGCAGTTTGCGATCACCATTTCCAACTACCAAAACCTTTGGGTTCTTTAATGTGCCATAAGACAATTGAGGAAAACCATAGATTCTGCTGGTGATCTGAGATTTTGAATCATTTTCCATTTTGAACCTGGCCTTCTGGCTATTTGAAGTATCGAAAACGTAGTAAGCTGCCGTGTAAGTCAAGTATAATGCGACGTAGGACCAAGTTGAAAAGTGATATTTTGATGGTGGTTGATTTGTAATGTAGATTACCGAATGACAGCTGGCGAAAGGAGAAAAGGAGAATTAAAGGTTTAGAATCACCATGAATATTTTGGAAAACCAGGCTAGAGAGGTTTGATAAATGGTCATACTCACTATGTAAAGGCAACACCTGCAAAATTCCAAAAACTTAACAGCCAACCCCACTTTTCGTAAGCCATGTCCCAGGTCAATGGAATGCACTCCTCGCCTTTAGCACAGGCATTGATATAACTGATTGAAAAAAGAATGATGGGTTGAGTGCAAGGTAGAAAAGACAGGTCAATTCAGTACTAGGATTGATTACTCACAGACCAGTTCCATATACCATGAAGAGGGAATTTGGTGTCACGTAACCAATCGTTTCATACTGCTTGACACTACCTGCAACCGCAATGATGAATAACAGGACCCATGGAATCCGCACCTCCGCAAATAATTTGACATCAATGTGCCCGATCTTTGGACTCAAGGCAGCCCCCATAAACTGTGGATTGGAATTTCATGGATCCATGTGAGTGTTTGGGAGAAAGGGTAAGAAGAGCAAGATAGGTCACTGCTGCACGGAATAAAAAACTTACGAAATCATAAATATGATTACCACTCATCCTGACAGCCTGACCTTGAAGAATAGGTAGGACGTAATAGAACAGGGAAATCGCAAAGCCAAAGATAGTGGCAATTGTCATCAAGTGACCCAGCTGATCAAACACATCACCCAATCGAACGACTCGTAGAACGGAATGTAGGACGAAGACGGTCGCAAGTGTAGCGTACCAAGAGCACAGCGCATTGCCTAAATGAATATAGGACACTATCAATTCTGAGCGCAACTCTCGAGGCTAGGTAGGTCAATGAAAGGCAAAAAAAGAGAGAGACTTGCAGTAGTAGGACAATTTGCCGCCATTCAACGATGGAATGGGCAAGCCTTCTTGCGGAACGCCGGGCATATACCAAGCCAGAGCCACTTGGTGGATCAACAAGCCCATGTAAAGATATGTCGCGCTCCATGTGGGTCGGGTGTGCTGAATAGCAAAACAAGCCAAGCAGGGACTTGATCAATTCTCCTGCCCAGATTGGTTAAGCACTCCGTTAAAAGAGAAGGATATGAACTTACCAGTTTGATTAATTGCCAAAATTCACTCGACCATCGAATGATCTCAGTAGGATGAAGAGAATCAGGTCTTGAAAGTTTCCCATCGTAGCACCATAAACCTTCAAGTCGCGCGCGCGCCGATCATCAGATTATTAAGGAGTTGAGGTACGTTTTGGGTTAGTACACTCAAAAGATGCGGTATGTTGCTCAATCATGAAGCGATATACTTACAGATGAAAAAGTAATACATCAGACAGGGGAACAGGATCATGAGACCCAATGAACCCCATGGCCCACCGAATTCATAGTGGGTATGTGGATCTGCCTGCGAATCATCAGCGCAAAGGAGAAAATAAATTAACCATCGAAATCGAGATCATCACCATCATGATTAATAATGAGGAACGATGAAGCGAACTAACGTCGGGATTGAATTTTCCCGGAATCAGATTTTGATGATTGCTAGCTTGATAGGCCCCAGACTTTTCCGAGTACTGTTGGTCAGCCGACTTCTCATCCCGCCGGGGCGGATTCGGACCACCAGTACCAATGACCGAGTCGATGACTTGCTTCATACCGAGTGTCTCCTGCTACGCAAATAGTTGGACTTCTTCTTGAGACTGAGGAGGGACAAAACCCTTTGGCTGATAACGCTGTTGGTTTGATTGAGTTGGACCGTTTGGAGTTGGGAGGGAAGGGAAGGATCGGCGCGAGGATGTGAAAGTGCGGATATCTATAAACCGCTGTGTGAAATCGATCAGACGAGCTGGGCAGGGCAAGGGAAGGGGAGGAGTTAGGATCAGCAGGCTCCCGAGCCAATTACATGTGGTCAACAGATACGCAAGAGGGCTGGCTTGGCTGACTGGCGAAGAAGCTGATGATCAAAATCGGAGTGACGTATTAAGGAATAAAGGAATCGGCTTCAGGCTGAGTAAGGCTATTATCGGTGGGCTCCTCACCGACTGGCTTTAGGCTTAGCTCAACCCAACTCAACCTCCTCGGCTGACACAGCACTGAGATCGGGAGGATTGTGGTGTTGAGCTTCCAAAAACGGAAGAAGCGCCAAGGGCGGGCTCGACGATTTCCGATCATTGGCTTATGTACCCTCCTGCATGAAACACACTGCTCATGGCCAATCGAATCCCCCAGCGCAAGCAACTCAAACTTCAGTTATCCCCCAACGGGCAACCCGCGAATAAGCCATCGCAGGATTAGGAAATCACATGCAACGGCACCCACACACCTACTCTCCGACTTGCAAGGATGAGCGGGAAAAAAAAAAGATTGTTCGTCAGCGCACTCTCGCCAAAACATATCTCCCAGACCCCCGGGAATTAGATGGGGATCCCGAAGATTCAAAGCATGGGCACCGAATGGCTTGAGGACTTGGAGGGTCTGTTGCTTAGAGGGGCATTCATGGGGCCCTCCTTATTTTCAGGTTTCTTGAAACTCTTGACGTCAAATCCCTCCCGACACCCTGATCATCCACAAACCAAGAGTTCGGGGCTGGAAATTCTGCTGATCCATGACCAGATAAATCTCCCGGCTGATTGGCCGACGAAATGAAAACTGCACGTATACGCGATTCAAGGATGAACTGGGAGAGAGATAGACAGGAGCACACAAATCAAACATATTTAGATGATAACGATTCCGTCTGCTTTTTGTTGATCCTGTTTCTTTAAAAAAAAGTAACTAAGAAGAATCAAAATGAATAGTTTCGACCACTGATTATCATTTGGGCTCCTCAATTCCCGCAACGATCAGTCCCTGGTCATCAGCCTCCTCAGGATTGATTGAGTGTCGAGCTGCTTGGTGAGATGGGCCGCACGGATATGTCTCTCGCGAGAGTTTATTATTAGCTGGTTACCATCATCGCGTGTCTGGCTTGACTTATTTAGGTCGTGCTACTCGAATTAACAGGGACAGGAGTAAGTTGTGCAGTCGCAACGCATCCGGATGAGCTGAGGCCAACAGCACGACCTGGCTAAACCAGAGCAAAAAGCACAGCCTAAGGAACTCGGCGTGCGGTGTAATAGACGCCCATTTTTCTCGATTATTATACTTCAAATTCGAATCATTGGCATGGATTGAATTTTTCATGTTATGTTTTAAATATTGTAATAGCAAGTGGCAGGCTGGAACTGTTTACACTGTGATTGAACGTGGGCCAGAATGTTGTGTTTGGTGCTGGCAATGGCCGTCCCGACCCCGCATATACTCCTGAGTAGCTACCAGTGGGAATCTGGGATCACCGTCGCGGTAGGCGTCTGGACTCCAAGAGTTTTGGAAACTACATTTTCAATGGATCTGAAGCAATCCAATTTTCTGGAGGATATTCGACATTCATGTAATCTGGATGCTGCTTCAAACCTATCTCTGTTTTTGAATGATGATGTCTGAGCTCGTTTGGTGTTAACTCTGAGATGAAGATATCCATTGGGTCATTCTTTGATGCGTAGAAAGCGGTGTTAGTCGTCCTGCTTCCATCTTCTTCAAAGGCCCAACAATTGTAAGTATGATTTTTTTTTGAAATGAGCCATCATTCTGTTCAAGATGAGTGTCTTCAAAAGGCTGCTTACTAATACTGGTCACCTCTTCACTGTCACTTGGGAATGTTATGATTGGGTTTTGTTGATGTTCTGTTTCAATCAAGTTTTTTTTTCCCCCAATGAATGTAAGAATTAAAACGATCAGTTTCTTTCCTCAAGTTGGAATTTGTATTGAAGGCAAAGAGGCAAAGGTGTGATACTGCTCACTATTAATGTGCAATCCTTGTAAGTAAGCTAATTGCCCAGGAGAGTATGTTAAGAAATATCAAGTCAAAGGTTTTGTTAGAAATCACAAAGATAATTTCATCTGAAGAATCTGATACACAGGACTAACCTTCTACTTTTTCAAAATCACCCATTGCTAAAAAAAACAAGAATCATCAATTTTAAGGATTTCAAATCAAGAAAAGGAACAATCTAGATCCACTTTCCAAAACAGAAAATAAAATTTCACATACAATCAAAATCTGTTATTTTTAATATTCCATGGTTTTCAAGTTCCAGCTTGGGATCTGAAATTTGACAATGGTGTTGATCAAAATTAAGATGCAAGATGAAATTAGAATATCTTCCATTCAAAAAAAAGAATGCTTCAAAAATCACATACTATCCACTCCTCCTAATTGTACTGGCCTGGGGTGAGGGCTGAAAACATTGAAATCATGAAATTCTCCTCTCTTTACCAGATGATTTGAAGGCTTGAGTGGGTGGGCTAGAGCACTATAGTGAATTAAGAGAGGGAAAGTGACTATGATTTTGTTTAATAACATGACAGTAAGTGTATCAATTATTTTCTTTGTGGGAATTGGGAAAAATGATAGCAATATATGAAGAGGATGAAGATGAGGACTATGATATTTTGATAAAAATGTTGAAAATCCGAGCAATTATTAAAGTGACGAGGAATTAGAAAATCATTAACCCTGGGACGACAGTGTTATTAATCATCCAACATAACACCTTTTTTATGGTACCAGAACAAGTCAAAGTATTTTGTCTGTATGGTGTAGTATTAAGTAAATGTGTGGAGGGTATATTTGAAGTGTATACTGTCTCTGAGACAACCATACAAAAACTTTAACACAAACCCCTGGTGGCTTGGAAATGCTTGAGGTTTATATTTCAACTGGATACTGTATCTGAGACAACTGTACAAAAAACATCACACAAACCCCTGGTGACCATTGGTGTGGAATTTGTCAGATGGAGCACATCATGTTTTCTACCATTCATTCCATTTTTTTTGTGGAGCCGACCAGGATGAAATCATGTTTATCATTTTCTGGGTATGTATTCCTAAAAATTGAATCTTTAATGCCAAGCAATTCCTTTTCAACAATTACATCACTATAGAGCAACCTTATCATCCAACAATTGTACCACAATCTTCCTTTTGTTATTGCTTCAACCATTGTTTTACCATGGTTTTCTGATATTGTATATACTTCTCAATGTGGATTGTAGTCTGATTTGAGGAGTTCAGAAAACTGATTTTTGGAATAAGTTCAGATACATGCAATCACAGACTCTGCAAAAGCTCTGGGATTGTTTCTGATACTTGAGCTTTCTCTTCATTCAACAGACTTCTCAACAACGGTTTGCAAGGTTTTCTGATTTCTTGGATAAAACGCTATGTGAAAATCAACTTTGAATAACTTCATGTTGTACCACCTCTTGCCAAGGATTTAGAAACAGCATATGTACTTCTTCTTTTGAAACAGGGATAATCAGCGAGTCTATTTTTCTTTTTGGTCGGATCCACAGATCATGGAGGCTGATTTTGCTTGAATACAACGCGTTTTGTAAAAACAGATCCAACCTCTTCTTTCTAGGCAGGGCGTAAGTTTGGGACTGTTCAAGTCTATTCTAACAAGGAACTAGCTGTTTGACCATCAATTGATGAGGAGCACCATCCTCTTCAACGCCAACATGATCAGGTAAGATTAACACCTGATCAAATCTCATGAATGAATGTCAATCTAATGAGACTTGACAAACACTTACCGATAAAGGTCGGCCCAACAGGTTGATAACCGATTGTAGAATAAAACCCAATCACGGGTATCTGGGAATGTAAGCGAATCTGAGTCGGAGTGCTTGAGTCTAATAAGGATGATGGGGCCTGATCTATCAATGATAAACCATCTACCAGCTGTCGCTCGAAACTGAGCATCATCTGTTTTCCGATTCCTAATCGACGAAAAGGTGGCAGTAGTGCGATCCGTCCTACCTTAGCTTTCTTGGGATCATAGCGTAGAGTTCCAATGTGCTCATTCGGTCGGATCGATAGGGAGAATAATACATGGACCGAAGTTTGATCCAACCTGTCGAAATTCAGTGTGAAGTACAAAAACCGACGGATCATTGTAGGTCTGTGTGGGTGGTGAACCCAGTTTCCTCATCATTCGAGCAAACTCGACACGCACTCGTCAAACTCATCTCCCAAGTCGAACCCTTGCTCCGTGACAAAAACCTACGGACTGAAAAGTTTCATCAGCTCGAGCCACAAGAAAGTATCATTGCTGTGGTATAATGTATTTCGAAAGTTCACTCGACCTGGATCCTAATCTTGCGGCAGACATCAAACAACAAACAGGTGGGAGAAAAACATATCGTTTGTAGTTTCTATAGCATTTATACAGAATGCATTAAACATCATGTAGCTTGATGATAAGCATTGTGAAATACATATTAGAAAGTGGCTTACCAGTTGTCCCTCAGAGGGTATAGGATGTGAGGTTTGTGGATCCATCTTCGAAGAGGCGCCAAATCAGTACGGGAGTGAATCAAGTTTCGTGAATAAAGTTTTGCTGATCGACTTTTTCCTGGATGTATGCGATGTTGGTGCATACAGGGGGGACACCAGATCGGTACGTAATAGATTGTACGGTGTCCCAAATGTTGAAGAAGGAAAAAACCAAAAATCCCTAGGTGGCAAAAAAAATTAGTTTTTTGGCCCAATGTGGCCAGAAACCCCACCTCCAAGATGGATTTCAGTTGCCCAAAAGCCTTCCTGAGGGGATTATCACAAGGGCTGAACATCGGCATAGACAAGGACCCCGGCAAGCCGCACAACAGGGGGGTGTTGAAAAAGTCTGGATTTGGCCCAAATTCATACCTGTTTTCTGGGATATTCAAGAGTATGCTCAGGCCAAAATCCCCCAAAAAGAACTGACTTAACTAAGCCTCCCAGGACTGGGGGTGCAGAGCACCCCGATGCGAAGCATCTCCCATTCCCAATGGGAGGCTTATGAGTTATTGTGGCTTTCCTTCTTGAGAGCTTCCAAAAATGTGTGGCTTTTGGACAAAAAATTCAAATCAATTCACATTATGAGATGCATACTCATCATGAGACAACGAGGAGAAGGGCAGTTTGTAGCTGAGCATCTCATGTTGAATGTAGTATCACTTGCTCCCTACCTACACTTGTAGGAGGGTGCTGCCCTAGCCCAGAAGCTGAGGTTGATGGAAGATGGAATTCTGTATTGCAATTGAGTTCGCTCGGAATTTTTGGGAATTCACACACATCACTCTGGTTGAACACACAAAAAAGGAAAACTTCAAAGGGGGAAGGGAGGAGTGCGTGAAGGAGGAAAAATAGGTGATTGACACCAAAAAAAAGAGAAAATTAAGGCCTTGAGTTTGATACCACAGGCGTCAAGAATTTGTGGGGAGAAAGCAACAGACAAGTGAGGGGAATTTTTCTCCCACCAAAAATGCAAAAGCTCCCAGGCCAAAAAACAGATATCACCTGCAAGTCCCTCCTTCGGAGGTCGCGCTTCACGCCAGCCCTGTACCAGGGCCCTCTGAAGCGAGGGACTTGTGTTAAGTCAGAAAAAGAAGGGGTTCCCCAAATTAATTCTGATTTTGAGGGTTGTATTCTGGATTTTACTGGTTCTGACCAGTTTCACATACCTAAGATGTGCAATCTCAAGAGCACCTTTTTGGCCCAAAATGAAAATTCATACCTTTTTCAAGGTTCTTCAAGAGTATGTTTTTGGGATTTTTGCAATTTTAGCATACCTCTTTCAACACCCCCCTATTGGGGGGCTTGCCGGGGTCCTCATAGACATCTACTTTCATTCCACATAAATTTCCTACAGGCTATCTACAAGTCCATAGTTATGTACCAACTACATATTTATGGACTTAAGAGCCAATTTTAATGAAATACAGTTACAGATGCCATAAACCAATCTGGATTTTCAGGATGTCAGAAATGTTGGGGTAAAAAATCCAGATTTTTTTGTATTTGCCGGTTTTTTGAGCTCTTTTTGGCCACCAGATTGTTAAAAAGTCACTTGTAACCTTGAAGTAACACTAGCAACTGCAAACCTGAAATGAAAATTTTGGTTAACTGAACCATTGCTAACCTCACCTCAATGCAAGTGCACAAACAGGCTTGGCCAGGTTAACTCGCCTTAAACCAGCAATTTAACCCAACCAATGCAAATGATCTAAGCCTTTCTCTGCTGCACACTAAAATCCGGGCTAGAGATTGTGATCTTCTCCAACCAAGAAATGTCACCTGGGGGAAGAGATGGTCAGATTTATCTGGCCACTCTTCCTACAAGAAGAAGCTCTCAAAAGGACCTCCATGATTCAGCTAGGCAAATCATTGCTTCACTTGCCAGCTCCCAAGTCCTCTCAAATTCTATGCTTCAAGCTTTGCCGTCCTTTCTTTGCTAGTAGTATTGCTTTAGAAATACTATAACCACAGAGAACAAACACTAGTATCATCTCTATTACAAAAACCATTGGTTACACTTATTTAACTACAGAAGTTTTCTATCTTCTACCTGATCCACCTAAAAGATAACAGTTCCAATGCTATGAGCACTAGGGTTGATTGCTCTATTTACTATTGGAGGTCTAACAGGAGTAGTTCTGGCCAATGCAAGTCTAGATGTAGCGCTACACAATACCCAAATCAGTATGACTAGGAGTTTTACAGGTAGAACTCTAAAATCACCAAGAACTCTCTTGCAGTTGCCACGTGAGCTAGGTCCCTTCACAGTAGGTCTAATAGATGGGTATGGGAGCCTGCAAGTATATTACCAGTGTAGGAAATATCTAAAATTTAGACTAGTTGTAAAACTTGCAGGCAGACCTCTTAATTATGAAATGCTGTGCAAGATTGCAGTCCGGGGAAGCGTACAGAGGGTATGTAAGACAAGAGATATGGAAACATCTGTTGAGGTGTCTGATAGTCTGCTACCACAATGTATCACTACATATCGAACCATGAGGACTACCACCCAACTACCCTGGCAGTCACAAGTGTCTGTAGCCTACACAGCCCGCAAGCGCGTGACGAAATTCAAATTTCATCATGCTGACGTTTTGAATATGCGTGTACAAGCCCGTGCACCAGCCAGGTCATCACCTGCCATGAATTTCGTCACCTCCGACAATCCACCTCCCAATTTTGTCAGCTGCATCAACTTGTCAAGGTGTCAGCTCATGTCGCCAAGCTGTTGTCAGTTGATCTCACCAACTGGTCAGCTCACTCATCAAAATTGTCAAGCATATGTACATGTAAATATGTAAATATTAAAAAAATTGAAATACAAGTAGCCTGTGCAAGGCCTTTTGCATCCGCATCCGTGCATCCCTTGTCAAACATCATTTTTTCTAAGTTGGATGTACTCACCTGTCTAACTCAAATCCTCCTGTCTGGGTTTTGATACCTAAATATGCCAGCACATGATCACCGGGTCTGTTCTGTTGATTGTCATGACCATACATACCAACAAGACTATGCATCATTTCTAGGCTACTTCTACATACATGTGGTTCGGTTCTTGCATATAAATAGGATGCCCATCCCACACTGCTGGCGGTTCGTCAGCTTAAATTGAAAACTTTAGTTGCATTCTGGTCCACAGCAGATACTTACAACCTTTGAACTGTAACAATGGCCTCTGCCACTGATATACAAAGCACAATATCTGCCGCCCTCCAGCAGCAAGCTCAACAGTTAGAATCTCAACTTGCGGCTTGGGATGAATTTATCTCCAAGCTTATGGAGAAGGTAGAGCTTAAAGAAACAGAAGCGTCATCCACCTCATCTCCGAAGCCGGATAAGGGGAAGTCAGTTGTGAGGAACACTCAACCAAAGAGTTCCCCAACCATCAAGCCCCAAGCAAGTACAAGCGGCAAAGCCAGCTTGAAGTCCGCCACACCGACCAAGTCAAACCAGCTCACACATCATCCCTGTATGGAGGTACTGAACAGCCATTTTGGCCAAAAAAAATGAAAACATGGGGATGAACCGCCACTTTGGCCAAATAACCGCCAAATGACGGCCCTGAACCGCCAGAATGGCCAAAGTGAAAATTGAATCTAACCGCCAAATTGGCCACCCATGTTCCTGAACCAACATGATTGCTCCTGGACCGCCAAACATGGCACTGATCCGCCAAATTAGCCATGTATCCAAGGGGTTTGTGACCTCGTCTCAACCCCTTGGACTCTACACACCCCATCAACACACCCAGTCATCCATGGGACTGGGAGTACATCTCCCATGGATGATAAACACCCCCATCAAGGACTGATTTCAACCAGTCCTTGATGGGGTAAGCCTCCCATCAAGGGCCAGTTTGGACCTTGATGGGAATAAACAACCCCATTGATGACCGGTTTTGACCGGTCATCAATGGAGGACACACTCCCATCAAGGACCGGTATTGACCGGTCCTTGAGGG